GAAACGTAAAAACCTTCATTGGAATGCAAATTAGTTCTTGATGTTGCGTTCCTCTTCCTCGAGGAGGAATACATTTCATCCGCCCACGAACGAGATCAGATCTGCCAAGTGAAAAGTAGTGAAAAGAGAGGTTCAGCTCAATCAAGATATGGGTTTCATCGGGCAGCAAAGTACACACATTTTTGCCAATATTTAACATGAAGAGTTTCCCTCCGTTGGTTGACTTTCAAACATTTACAAAGAATCTGTTCAAGTCAAAGGCATGGTTGACTAGCCAGCCCTGATACTGATGGATGCATGCCTTCACTGGATTTTGATAGCTGGTAATATGCTTTGACGAAGAGAAAAGTTTAAAACTTTCTGCTCTGGAATCACTCAACTTTATTTGGAATTTTTGTTAATGGTTGAATAAATTACTGGTCGATGATGTACTGTGCCGAACAGAAGGCAAGACCAAAGTTTACACCAACTTGTCATGGTGTTTTTTAACTACCGATAAACGGATTGACTTTGAAAGAATTTTTTTCAACCTCTTTTTAAGTCACACACGGGATTCCAATAGAAAGAAATGCATTCACGAAAATGTCTGTTTTTCCGTACGATCAATGATCAAGTCGTGAGCAAGAAAACTTTTTTTTCTTGTTAAAATACTCGCACAGTACACATACTAAACTTTTATAGTTGCATTTTGCCTTTCATCTCTAAAATTTGAAGAAATAGGAAATGATGGAGTAATGGGATTTTAAATAAGTAACGAGAGCATCCTGGTTGGTGCATGCTTTATTTGCTCGAGCTGAGCGGAAGCAACACCATACCGGGAATTTACTTCTCGTATAGATGCAAAGTTGCATCTTTCACAAGATGCACGCTAATGCTTCTTTATTTTATTGGGCTCCTAATGAGGTTGTGGAATTCGTAAATTAGAAATATGCAAGACATGTTTCCGAGACGAGGAGGGTCGGATTGTACGATGCTGCCAACTTCCTCTGCACCCATTATCCGCCGAGAAAGGTTGTGAAGGAAACAGAAGGAAAACAAAGTTTGGACAAGTCAACAGTGAATGCGCATCCGTTTCATTGTGAAAGTATGCATTTCGCATTTACTCAGGAAGGAAACTTATTTATGTTGGAGGTCAACTTTGTAAATTAACACAGTGTCTCTGATAATTAACGAACCGGTGCATTTGCATTTATTTTATCACAGTTCCGAATTAAACTTTGCTCCATTCCCGTCTCTGCACGTTGGTTTACGAGGGGTTCATAATTAATTGGATGCAATTCCTCCGAGTTCTTCTCCCCATGCTGTATAATTATTATTTGGTTCCTGGCCGAGCACAAATGTTCACCTCATAAATCTACATTTTGTCACATCATTTCGGTCAATAATTCTCTCACTATTTTATGCATGCCTCACACTTGGGTCATATTTCACATGATGTAATAAAGTCCATATGGTTTGGTAGTCCTTGCTCTTTATCCATTAAATATCCTTTCATTAGACGAGTGCTTTCAAAGGTTGTACAGAAAATAAATTCGAATGCAGACTGATGCCTATTGATCAAATGAAACATCTCCATCAACAAAAATGTAATTTGATTCGAGCTTCAAAATATTTGATTTTGTTCACCCGTATGCATGTGCACATGGTTAGTGTGCGCCAGGGTAGGAAATTTGACAGCATTCCCTTCCAATTATTATTATTATTGTGAATATTCAATTTCACAGAATGGTTTGACAATGCTACATGAAAATTTGTTGAGTTGGAATTAATACTTCTGAATGACTGAATCAAATGACAACGCACGGCACTGTATCCAACTCAATTACGTGTTCAAAGCTTTATTTACTTGAGTATCATTCACTAGATATTCACTCACTTGTTGTTCATCTTCCTGACATGAAACTCCAACCAAAGTCTGCTCCCCTTCGAAACTTTCAATCAAATTTGACTCGCATGAATTAAGTGAGCTGTACAAGAATGATAAGCGGATGTTTCACTGGTGGAATGCCACTGAGGAAGAACTCCAGTTTGAAACTACTTATTGTGCCTTCAATGTTACGTCAGTTACACTTGTAAACTTATATCCTACTTGAAATATGTATTTATATGCGTACGTAACCAAAGTCGAACAAATTGTGTTCGCTGTATCGATTTTAGGTGAACCATTGGAATTTATGAAATAATATTAAAGTAATATCGAAAATTAGAGGCGGAATTAACGTGTATAAAGAAGTGAAAGCACTCGCCCTTTTAACACTTAATATAGCGATACTGAAATTAATTTATTATTCCACAGATATTCAAATGCGAAGTAAATATAGTGTCACGATTCTTGCTCTTCAGTTTTGCACTGGAGAATGTAATAGGGCCAGGAAAATCAATTTTTATAAAGTTATACTGCACCCTCATACATACATACGTATATACAGATATGCATAACATACTAAACGTGCTATAGCTACTTTTAGTGGCAATTTGCATTGTAACCCTGAGAAAACATGATAAGAATTAAATAATGGAGAATAGGAGATTTAAAAAGTTTTAGAGGAAAAGTTTCACTGAGCGGAAGTGGAAGGATGCCTCATCGGCAGTACTTTCTAATAACGGGCAAAAGTGAAATGAGCAAGCATTTATTATTACGCACCATTATTATTCTGGCTCGCGGCGAGTATATCGTCGTGGCATTACAACCAGCCAGCCTTATTAACTTTCTCAATATTTATGCACATCATCCTGAAGAACGCATAATGCGAGTAATGTGAGGAGGAATATGATATGAATTTAAGATACAAGAAATTCGTTCTTCATTACAGTCCACGTCTTTGAGAATCGTTTTTGAAAGCACTTTCTCCAACTTTATTCTCTCCCGTCCGGAGAAATTTTCCCCACTACGCGTACAAAGTACATACACTCGGTATGCATATCCCCCCACCTTCATGGCACTGGCTTCTTTTAGAAGCATTCGTGCATTGGTAACGCCAGAAAAACATAATAAAAGTGCAGTTCGAGAATTGTAATGTATATCAACGAATCAGGAAACCTACACATTTTGCATTTGGTGTTCCGATTCAACGCTTCATTTTGTTCTTGCATCCCGTCAATCGCCTTAAAGAGCCAGTCACTCAGACGAGAAAGCTGAAGGGCGGGTGCAGTTGCAGAATGGAAATACTTATCTCTCGCATCCCCACTGTTACAATAAAATGCTTCTTTAAGAAATTGAGTTGGTATAAATCCTTCCGCTTTCCTTACGCAACAACGCATTCGGCATGCAATGTTTCATTTGCCTCGAGTATTAAAGGCGACGGAGATGGAATGTGCGTGAGGGTGTAGTTGTGTCTTGCATCTGATAATATTATTTAACATACAACGGCTTTGGAACTGCTTGGTTGGTTATTCCGCTCCCCCCAAAGTCTTTTCTGCTTCCCATCACCACAGGGCTTATTTAGACGTTGGGATATCTGATGAGCAGCAAAAGATCTTTGGAGCAATATATCACGAGGCATTACGTCCTCTTAATCTGACGTGAGGTTATTAGAGAAATTTGTAATTCTCAAATTTTAGATAGAGTCGAAAAATTTCGGCATCAGCACAGCGAAGAAAAATATATAGATATGCTTGTGGCATCGAAAATTCAAATTTTAGGTGTGGATACGCGTTCGTTTAAAGTACGATAAATACACGATTATGCAATGGCGCAGTGTGTATAGTATAAATAAAGTAATTATTATCTTGGCAATGCTTTAAGCACTTCCTTAAAATTTTATTGTGTGTAGTATGCAGAGCTACATACATTTATACTTTTTAGCAAGCTAATTTTAAAAAGTCTATCAAATAACTTGAAATAACCATTAGTCAGGTATGCAAGGTATTTGGCCCCAACATTCCAACGTCATAAATCTTGAAGCATTTGTCAAATATCTAATGCGTATATATAGAACGTGTATTTAAAAAACCCTACTTTGCACAATTTTCTGAACGGTTTTGCAATTGTTAATAAATTGCACAACCGTTCCAGCATACATCACCCAGTCGGCTCAATTGTGCCGCGCCCTATTTACCCCAAACTAACAATAACGATGAGAAGTAAAGATTGATTTGATGAGAAAGGTATGTCAGCAGGAAAACAGAACGCGTTTTTGACGCGTTTTTTGCACTGAAGTTACAAAAGATCATGTTTTTCCACATCATTCAAAATGCATCAACTCTTAGCAGCCACCCGAACGATTTTTCAGTTGCGGAATTGCCACTTTCCTCCACATTATGAAGAGTAATCTTTCTCCGGCTCATGTCTGCTTGGGGAAAACCCATCAGGTCAAATCCGAAATGAGTGTGAATGGAGTGATGATGAATGTGAGTTTCATTGTTTGGATCGGAGTTGTTGAGTCGAGATTTTGCTTGTGTGGCGTTGGCACCTTGCCACATGTGCACGATAGGTTGACGATTATCCGATCTGATACATACATTAGAGCTACAAGAACTCCCCAACAGCTCCAAGCCAACACAAAACCAAAGCCATTACTTTGTTTGAAAAGTACTCAGAACTCGGGTGACGTTCAATAGAAAGGAGACAAATCACAAGAGACTTTCCCTTCTCGGCTCCCAAATGGATCTCTGTGATTTAATTGGAAGGGAGTGGTGGATGGATAGCAAGACTCGTTGACATACTTTCTCCCCCTCTTACATATCAACCATATTTACTCTTCCTGAACAATTAAAAAACATTGTTGCCTCCAGAGCAAAGGTTTCATTTTAATACAGAAATCCAATGAAGAATGTCTAAACCTTGATTTCATACAAATAAGTTCAACCATACTAGTCATCATTTGGAAACTGGTTTAACCAAATCATGAGCACGCACTGATTTGAAAAATCAATGTGTAATAATGTTACATAGGAAAATATGATTTGCTTCCCACATATGAAACAAAGTGCTTTTCTGAACCACGAACCAATTCAATTTCATCACCAGATTCACAATCCATTGTCTTTTGAATTTGCAGACAGACTTATCACACAACCTGCAGCAGCTCTCGGGAAAAGCCAAAGCGGAATCAGAATTCATCCAGAGATTGAAGACCCAAACGGAGAAAATCAATGTAAGTCCTATTTCCCTCGCCCTTTGTCTTGTCCTGCTTGTGAAGGAAAGGAGACGAGCACTTTCTCCGTCGAGGAGAACGAAACAAGTCAAACCTCTGCTCTCTCAACTCTCTCTCTGACCGTCTGCAATGCCCATCTCTTTGTTCAATAAGATATTTTTTTTTGCTTTCCTCCACTTTTGTTTACCTTCATTTCCTTCCACTTTCTCCGTGTACATCATCCTCCTCCTTTTGCAAGTGATACAAGCGAAGGAAACGAACCAAATAAACACAAGAGGAGGAGAAAGGCTTGAGTTTCTCCTTAGTTTTTCCTCGTTCTTCTCTGCCGAGGGCAAAGCTCACGAATCTGGTGGCGGAGAAAGATATCTTTCACCAGGGGGGACGAGAAGTCGACTTAAGATTGAAGTGAGATTAGTCTGACGTCTTCCTTTCAGCCCTTCCTTCCATGTACGAAGGCTTGTTGTAGTGTGATGATATGTGAAAATAAAACTAATAAAAGTGCTTCGAGATTAATTACCTTCGTAAAGTTGGCTGCGTTTGTTACAGTGTTTTACGAGTACTCGGCTTGTATGTACGCTTGTTTATGCTTTCAAGGGAAGCACTATTAATAATTTGATGCAAAACATTGTCCATTTTGTAGAATCAGGATTTTATAGTGTTATTACAGATAATGGAAACTATTTATGTATGTATTTAGCACTTAATTTCTAGATCTTAATTATCTTTCTACACAGTCAATATAAGCACGCCATATAATCCTTTTGTCCTTGCAACAAAACAATGGGTTTGAAGAAAATCATTGTGCACGTAATACATCATGTTGAATAACAATGTGTCTCATTTGCTGTTAGTTGATTAATACGTCGTCAGAAAAAAATAATTGGATGCAATGTGTCACTCAGGAGAACGACAATCTGCCCGTCATGCGGTCCACTGGCTCATAGTAAATAGTGACACAGGGTGAAGCAATAACAATACTGCGGTTGACTTGACGGATGGCCATCCATTACTTACTTGGCGGGTTGGTGGGGCTTATGTGTAGTCGTTTCATGGGTTCACCTTTACTCACCGAAGGTGAAGGTCTCTCTCTCTCACCAAGAAAAAGTTGTTGTTTCTGTTGCAACTCCCTAAATTGCTTTCTCCAAAGCGCGCACGAGTCTCGTGCCACGGCATCCTTTGAAGTAAAAGTCATTTTCTTGTGTAAATCGATCAGTTATGGGTTGACGACGATAGAGAAAATTTCCAGCATGGGAAGGAGTAACAGGGACGGGTGTAATAGATTCCCGACGAAAACGGTAGCAGGGTGAGCAGTGATGAAAACGACAACGAACTGAATATGCATATACGTAGACATGCCCAAAGCCAATTTACTCTGCATAGAGCATTGAGTTTTATCAATGTTCCATAGGACAAGTGTCATTTGTCTCCCGTTCATGCAGATACGTACGTGCGTGAAAAAAGAGTCAAATAAAAGCAACGACGATGGATAGACCGTCATTTATTTGAGGTTATTATGATACCGATAATTCACCTCATGATAACCGGTGTCCGGTCAATTTGGTCGGGTCAGTTTGGTCTTGGGAAATTTGGTCTGGAGTCAGTTTGGTCTTGAACAAATTCGGTCTGGCCAATTTGGTCTAGCCGATTTGGGCAAACCAATTTGGTCTGGTTAATTTGGTCTGAAGTCCCATATTATTCACATATTACCTGGATTCACAGCATGCCTAGCTTAGGTTAATAAATCTTGATTCAGGTTCACCTTTACTTAACTAGACTCCGAGAACCACACCCCCTGTAAGTGCGGTTTTAAAATTTCCAATATTATGTCGGAATTGTCTCATCGGGGTGAAAAACGTGATATGTGGCAGGGTTTTACTTAACTTAATTTAGGTCCAGAGAATAACACCCCTTGAGGGTGTTTTTACATTTGGAATGTTCTATTTGGACTGACTAAAATATTTAGTTTACAGTCAAATTTTACATAAATTTAAATAATAAGTATTTATAATTTTAGAATTGCATCTAGGTCTTTTTAAAATTAAAAAGAAACTGCAATTAGGTCGGCTTAGACTTTGTACAACGATGTGCATGTAAATGCTGCTAAGTGTTTGAAAGATGTCTTGGGCTCCTACTTTCAACCCATCTAATGCAAATTCATCTCGTACACATCTGGAAGAATGCATATTAAATTTTTTAAATAAAATTCTATTTTAGCATATAAATATTAAAGCTCAAACTTCACTAATTCAGTAAATTTTATTATTTTAATAAGTGAGACCAAATTGTCCAGACCAAATTTACCATACCCATTTGACCAGACCGAATTATACCGGACCAAAAAAACCCAGACCAAATTGACCTCTCTTGGGACCAAACTGACCCGACCAAACTGACCAGACCAAATTGACCTAGCATCATGATAACCATATGCACTCACCTACTGGTCTTCACTGGGGCTAGTTTTTCAAAGATAATGGAACTACTTTTCTTCGACCTTCTGGTGCTTTGTTCTAACTCAATTATTGACTAATGGTGAACACTTATGGAGCACTCTGGCGACAAAAACATACCAATTTGTTATACTAATTGAAAAAGTAGGTATGCATTGATCCATCAGAATACCAAAACTTGACCTGATACTACAAGGGGTGAGCAACTCAGGTAAGCACACCCCGTCCTGGTGCCACAGTGTCGAAGAAATTAGGAGTAAATTACCCATCTGAAATTCCTTTCTATTTATTCACAAGCATTTGGTTGTAAGCGATTTTGATCTCTCACATTGATTGATATCAAACTCGCTCATTAGTCAATGTCACTTTCAGTTAGACAACCCGGCTCTCACAACACAATCAGCCCTTGTTCTACCAGCAGCACTTGTACTGTGAGAAGTCGAGTCAAAATTCAATCCATGTTTTGCGCACAAGAAGCAAAACTTTCTCCTTCATCACCGTTTCCTGTCGGCACTCATTTCGGCAGCAGTGTAATCTATCACAAAGTAAAATGCAAGAAATGCTCGAGTATGAAATGTTGCCTCAAACAAATTTGGAGTCAAGCTGAAAAATACGGCCTCTGCTCGATGCTCATTTGTGGTCGGTGCTTACACCATTCGTGTGTATGCATATTCACTATCATGCACATGTAGGTTGTGCAGGCTTGGTTTGTCTCTCTCCCTCACTTTCTTGAAAGCCTGTGCTGTGGCTAATTTTTCAAAGAAGCAACAGCAAAGGGGCACACAATTCTGAAACTTTTTGGTTGTTGCAAGTGGCTCGACTGCCACTGCACTCACTTCTTGTAATAATTCTGTCAAGTGGAGAAAGCTTTCTTATCAAGAGTTGGCGTTGGCTGGTGGGTTGTCTGCTGACATTCTCTTGCTTGCGTTCCTTGCGTGCGTGGCCAGTCAAGCTTTTCATACTGTGACTTTCCTTATTTATGATTATGATTATCCAGCCACTCAAAGTTTGCAGCCGCGTACACTACTAAAATACTCTTCCGCTACTATTGTTCCCCAACGCGTGTATCATGATGGGAAAGAGAGAGTGTGATTTCACAACCACAATATGTGCATTTTGTTACTTTTGTACGCGAAAATGGCTGTTTCAAAGTTTCTTTTTGTTTTCACTTTCTTTTAAGTATTCTGCCCTTGCTATTTCTTTGTAGGCTGAACGTTTGGCATGCGTATAATTATAGTACATTTAATGCGTTGTGTTTACCCTCTCCATGCGTAGGTTTCAAGTCAGGATAGTGAGAGCCATACTTGTAAATTTAAATGAGTTCATTCCAGCCGCTTGAGAATTAAATACTTATATTGAATATTTATTTACTTATATTATCCAGGATATAAATATAATCTCCTTTGAGTAAGAAATGCATATATGTAGAAGACCACTTACTCCATATTTAATTTATTGTGCAGCTAGAAAAAGTTGACCATGATGAAAGTTTATTTTGGAAAATAAACATTATTAAAGAATTTTCAAGTTATGAGATCCGTTTCTGCGGTTAGGTTGCTGTTTGACCGATCGCTTGGACATACACTGGTCATGAAAAAGACGTGGCTTGGGGCAGCTTACGTATCGTGTATCGTGAGCACCGCATGTAGCCGTTCTCATGTTCAAGTGCGTACTTGTGGAAACTGCCCTCCGCTCCTTAAGTTCTTTAATAAGTGGTTGTTCTTTATATTCGTTTATTTCTTGTGCTGGTTTTCTTTTATGTTCATGATCTTATCTAACCCATCACTTAAGATCCTGCGTTCTCATTGCGCGATATAAACTAGAGTTTGAGGTTTCATTACGCAATTTTGCGTAGTCTCTGTGTTTAAGTGCAGGCTCCCATTTGGTTGTATTTTACAAATGGACAGTGTTCTTATTGTTAGAGGCGTACTTTGATATGTGCATGTGAATGCTACTGAATATGTATGCGTAGCTTTTACTACACAAGATGAAGAAGGATTTCGAGGGCATGTGCGCATTGTCAAACAATGTAATCGTACGATATGGTTTGAGGAATGGTTGGGCATCCAAAAATACAATAGTTGACATTATACGCAAGGCAACATTAGTTTTGGTTACATGAGATTACAGCACTCCAGTGAAGGTATTTAAGCTCAGTGATTAAATTACAATTGGACTTGTACATATAATATTGTACTAGTCAGTCAAAACTCTCCCAAGAGTGGTATTAGTTCATGGAACGAAATTGTGGAGGATTTCTTGCGACCATTTCTTTTAGCTGTAGTGCCCAAATTCTAGAGATAACGAATTCATGTGAGGCAAAAAACTGCATTAGGAATTGGTAATGTGAGTTACTTGGGCTGCTGGTCTGTAGCTGCATGAGATATCTTATCTCTGCACATGATGCTAAAAAATATATTGTGCGTTGGTGGTGATGGTGGTTTACGGCTGTTATTCTCCATCCCAACAAATTCATAAATGCAAATGGCTGAAGAAAGCAAAGCCCTCGACCAAGTGTATTAAACCCAGCACGCACAATTCAAAATTCACCGTCCACCGTACATATGATCGGACTTTACGATGCCAGTTTTATCTGCTTCCGGTGGGTGACTTACTTCATGGTCAATTTAAATGTTTTTATATCGGGTTTAAAAGTGGAATCTGACGTGAAATGAGGAAGGTTTACGATCTGTTGGATACCCCAAAATGAGGTTTAAATTTACAACTCGCAGTGCAGTACGTACAAGCAAATTTTTTCCTACCAAGATTGTCAAAAATATGCAATCAAGACACGAGTATAAGGGAAAATAAAATGAGGCAACAAAACCTGCCTATCGTAAAGTATGAAATATTCAGGCCACAAGTGCCACCAACTTCTCTAAAGTTGAGAAAGTCTGCCCCTCCCCCCAAGCACATAATGACCACCGAGAGTTGAATTTTGTACATCACTGAATATTCCTCCTTCCCAAATCACAACTCGTATCTTTGCTCCTTCATAAATCTCAGATGCACTTGTCTTCCAAGTTTAGTGTCTTCGTACAATTTTAAAATAGGATGCGGTGGATGCCGTACTTGGAGCGTGTACATTTTTCAATTACAATTTTTCCCCTTTTCATTATCAATTTTGGTGATAAACTGGCTCTGCAGGATAGAATAAGAATCAGTACTCAGCAGAACAGTACAGTTTGCTCTTGATGGAAAAAACTGAGTTTTAAAAAAGTTTTTTTTACATAAATATTCAACAATCAATTATAAATTAAATATCACGGTATGACATAAAATATTATTTTTAGTTAAAATACTTGTCAAATTATGATATCGTTAAATACGTATATATTATGCCACGTAATTACATATTAGTACCAAGCAAGGCCCTATGGCTCAGAGGTACGAGGGTAGGATTGTCACCACGCAGTCACACGTTCGATTCCTCTGGCCGGGAAGCTATTGCTAATCCTACTCGGCTCGGTGTTAGTACGGGGTAGGTGCTGTCTCGTGACAGGGTGAGCCCAGCCATACGGAATGGCAATGTCACTGTGTACAGCCCCTAGCAGAGTCCGTTCTCTGTGGGGATGAGACAACTTGCTACGAAATTATGGCAAGAAGTCGCCATCTGAGGCTGAAAAGCAGAGAAATCTGAGTCCTGGCGATGTAAAACTGTCACATTTTAACATTTTTAACATTTAACATTGTATAGATCGTGATTATGAGAATTGTGCGTTGAAAAGTCAATCCGTGTGGTCAATAAATTGTTCAGAGATTGTGTCTGCTTTCTCCGTGATATTATTAAATACGAGTCAGAATCAGAACGGGAGTTGTTTGCTTCTTTCTAAAATGTATAAGCATATAATGTTTAATGTTGGTCGATGCCAATATATTCTCAAGCAAGCGTATGTATAGGCGAAAGAGTAATATGTGTTGATCCGTGTGGGGAAATGACTAATTCATAAATATTTCTAAACATTGTCGGCAGTAAAAGACAATATTTAATTGATTCTATTCGCCAGAAATTCAGTAGTTAAGCACGCATTGTACACATCTTCAAGTGCACATCGTAGCGATATAATATCCATTGAAAAAATAAATCACATTGTTCATGATTTGAAACTTTCACCATTCAACAAAGGTGCACATCTTCAAATGTGAGGCCTCTGTTTCCGTTCGATACTTGAGTGGTATTATTTCCTGGAGGGAGATGCACTGATTTTGTATTTCCAATTGGAACGTTTTCTTCAAATTCTTTGCTAACCTTCAATATCACAAATTAAACTTTAGCCGTACGCGAACCAGTTTGTGAATGTCCACCGTCTATCAAAACGCATTAAATATATTTCAGAACTACTCACGCATTTATTATGCGAAGGTCCGCGAACTTTGATCCGATCTTGAGCCAAGTTATTTGAGTTGGTTTTGCTCAGATTTGGATTTGAATTCGATACATTGTGTTGTAAAGTAGAGAATTGGATTGTATTGGGAATTGAGGTCTAGTCTACACGCACTCGTCCATGCCCGCAAAGCTCTTCTCCTACATACTTCTTGTATCATTCACGCTCGATTTATTTTGCGTGTTCCATGTTCAAGCAACTCCATTTCGCCTAAATCCCTTCTGAAATAAATATAACCGTGGGCTGAATTTCGAATTCTGGATTTCAATTCCAAAAAGATCATAAAGGAGCAGTTCAATTTGAGATTTTGAACGTATTTGTCTATTTTTAAAGCAAGTATTTTGGTTTCAAAAGTAAATGTGAGTGAATAACATTATTCACAAGAAGATGTGTAATTTAGTTCTGAAAATCCTATGTCGCATGGAGTAGATGTGCCTCTCCTAAGTTATGGGTAGGAAAAGTGCGTTAGCTGTGGCTGAACTTGAACGTCAACTATGTACATACGCACAATATTTAGTTGCTTGGAATTGTATGTATTGCATATTCACATTATGTATTGGATGAGTCCAATCCAGATTCTATTATGTCCCTCCTTCGAAAGATGAGGCTGGCTGAAGCGAGGATTAGGATTTGATTGTTCAATGTAAAAATGTAAATTCTCTTCAATTCCTGGGATTTGCAAGACGACGATTCTAAATCCAAACAGTAAATTGTGCACCACACTCGAAGCCAGAGTGTTTTGCATCCATATTTTAATGTTAATATCAAATCCCTCAGACGATATGAAAAAAATTTTTACTACAATGGTTCCCAAAAAATAAAATTGGATCGGTTTTCTACGCAATTTTAAAAAGCTTCCATTGGACGTATACTGGGAACAATAGTGGCGCAAGGAAATGCATAGATCACAGAAAAACCTTCAGCACATATGTATTTGCTTTGCCCGTACCAGGATTTTTGTGCATATTTATGTGTTAGCTGCTAGCTAATAAATTGGTAAAATTGCTGAAAAGTAGAAATATCAATAATGTTCTTCTAAAATTGATGGAGTGAAGGAGCGAGTGGTGCTGTTACATAGATCTATGTGCATGCCTTATTGTGACGTTGATATAATTCTGGCTGTTGGTCGTAAAACAATATCCCTGGTCGTCATTTTTAAGAATTTTTGAGCAGTTGCTAAGAAATGGTGCAAAATTTAGAGGAATAATTTCCTTGAATTTACATAATTTACAGTGCAGACCCCATATAACCCGAGCCAGGGACTTAGTCTCTGACCACTCCGATAACCCCCAGTGGTCAACCACTTGACCGATTTCGCCAATCTTCAAACTCGTTTCCTAACTTTGTCCAATATGCATATGGTAAAAATTTCAAGTCAATCGGTTCAGTCGTTTTGGCTCTATCGTGTTTTGGGACGGATGGACGGACGGAAATTATGACGGTTCCTTAAGCCCTGACTCAGGCTAAAAAATTACCGGCGAGAAACTGACGTTGAAAGCGATCTAATTCCAGTAAATTATTCCTCTAAATAATGCACCATTTCTTAGCAACTGCTCAAAAATTCTTAAAAACGACGACCAGGGATATTGTTTTACGACCAACAGCCAGAATTGTAATCCACCCAAATGTCTGGTTAGCTTAGTGACGGGATTAATTTCATTTTGTCTGACTGGCTGGAGTGAAGTACACGAAACCATTTATTTGTGGTTTTCCAAACATGACTCCACAAAGTGAGTGACAGATTTGATACTTGTTAGTAATCATGCCGCAAGTATTTTTGGACTTTGCATGCAAATTAAAATAATGAGGGACGTGTATCCTGATGGAAGTTTTGATGGTATCTGTAAAATGCACTTTTCTGGTGTGTATATACATAGCATTTATTTGCTATCGTCACATAACTAACTTTTACTCTTGTGGATGAAATTATGCTAAAATGCAATTTATTTTTTTCTTACAGGAAAGCAGTCTTTCATTAGAAAAGCAAGTGACGGCCCAAGTGGACGCAATAATTGAAAATCTGCAGAGGAGAAAGCACGAACTCATGGAGTTTATTCACAAGGAGAAGGAATACAAGTTGCGGTCCCTAAAAGCCGAAGTTTCTAGTCATGGACAGAGGTAAATACAATGAGTTCGCTTTAAAAATAACAATCGTGTCCAGGCTAGTGCCTCTTTTTTTTGCTGCCCCATGCAAATGGGTCGCTATATCCACCCTAACTTTTCACGGCATAACACTTCCCATCCTACGGAGAAATGTTTGACCCGTAAATCAAGGTTTAGTCCCTCGCACGGCTCACCCCGCCCCCCCACCCCCCCCCCCTCGGCTATCTATTCATGGATGGATGTGATTCAGATTAGAGTTGGGTCGAACATTTCGAAGGGAGTGAAAGAAAGCAAGAAGAGTGATCAGGAAAAATAACTAAAACTCGCCATAAATGACCGGTTCCGCATGAAGTACTACTTCCATCAACTTTCTCCACTCACGAGTTCTCCTTCAAACCAGGGCCAAATAGCCGGTCATTCCTACATGCACATATGTACTCTACGTTTTACATAGGGCATATAGTCGAATATAATTGTCTAGAATGGCCCAAAGTAATTTTGTTAGGTCAACTGGAAGGAATTTATTATTATTGTTATTTATTTATAAAATACCAATTGTGAAAGCTACATGTCAATGTAATGTATTATCTAAAATAAATAATTATTTGAAATAGGTTGCAAAACACTACTTCGTTGATTCAGTTCTGCATCGAAGCCCTCAAGGAGACAGATCCACTTGCTTTTCTTCAGGTAAGTCTAATAAATGTTTTACATTCATCTGGAATTATTGATAGATTTCTACAAATGACGATATGACACCAATAAAATGTATAAATTATTAATCTTTACACCGACAGCAGATAAAATTATTGAAAAAATCGTAGACACTTCGGTATAAAGTAGACATATTATATGTAAATACTAACAACTTTGTTAACAAGACAAAGAAAACTTTGAATTTTCCATAAAAAGTTAATTTAATCTCAAGATAATCATCACCCGTTTCGGCAGCTCAGTTTCAGTGGCAATCCTTTTGCATCATCTCAACACGCCTTGTTTTCTCATCCCACGCTGGCCTCATACACTTTCATCGCCATTTCATCTCATTTGGACTTTTTCTCTTTAAATAAATGGTGAAAGTGTTCCATCCTGTTTTTGTAAAAGCATCCTATCCAATGCATCTGCAAACTTCCGCGGTTGAGTCGTCCGACTCAGCAGCAGCACTCTCATCTCCGTGTGTACAGTTTGTGTAAAAAAGGGAGGAAATAGTTTCTGAGATAAAGAGACTTCTTTCTGTACTTGGAGAAAGGAGAGGAAATGGGAACGGTTGTTTAGAAGGCAATCTCGGCTCTCGGTTGTTTTTAAGCAGAAGCTCTTTTCATTTCTCGTCTCTATTCACCACGACCAACGAACCACCATCAAGTTCTCTTCCGAGTTGTTCTGGCCCTGAATCTCGAGATTAAGAGAGATGCATCTGATATCTACCATTTCGAAAGTTGGGTTGGACGAGGACATGCACTTTCTAGGAGCATGTTTGTGTAGGTGGTGGTTGGAGGCCTGGTACATAGAGCAGGTTAGCGCAGTTTAAATGAATTATGGAATCATATTTCCTCGTTATTCCTCCCTGTCTCAATCCTACATTCCTTCTCTCACATCCTTTCCTCTGGCGCCTATAAAAACGTCCAGATTTGTGATAAAAATGGTGAAAAATCAATTTCTGTACTTTAAGTAACTGGAACTTTCGAGGTTTTGACGTTCAGGATGCAACAAACACCTACGTTGTATGCACTCCAACTTACTACATTATTGAGGTTAAGGACAGATAGAGAGGGAGAAAGAGAGTAAGGGTGCGATAGGCACGTGCTGGGCGGAAAATTGATAATAATAATAAACAGGACGAGATTGTGTGTGTGGGGAAAGGGAGGATATATGACATTGAATTCTTAAAAGTGGAAAAATGATACAGAATGAGACAAAATTGAAGGTCTTTGAAACGGTGTTTAGTGTTTAGAATGTCTATCCAAGAGCATTTATCCTTATCTTTGACTTTATGTTAATGCAGGAGGGAAAGCCATAAAGTACAAGAAATACGGTAATGTGTCGCTGGATTATAGTGAAAGCATTTGACTCCCCATCTTCCTGCGTTATTATAGCTTTTTTGTCCATCTTTTGATCTTTTAACCCCTTAATGGCTCCTAGTTGTTGGTTACATAACGGCGCAAGTGAAAGTGAGAATTGTGATGGTGGATGCAATTTCCTCAACAAATGTATAAACTTGGCCAACCTTTAGCATAAGAAAATTTAATGGCTCAAGTTCTTTTAGTAGGATTTATTGTTTCTTATGATGATGCTCCAGTAGTGCATTACATTACAAATTGTCATTGAATTAAATTGGATGAATAACTGTTATGGTTCAAGAGGGTCCGTATTTCAATCCTTGTTTCAAACTTTACCACTTGTTCTCCAGCCAATGCCAATGTTGCTAAATGCATAACTGGAGAACCAGTGGGAACGTCGTAGAAGATGGCCAGACGGTTTTTACATATATTGAATAAATTTCCAATCTGGCACATGAACAAATTTTTTTTATTTTGAAGGATAAAATTGCATTTTTCAATTTTTCGGCAGATTGGTTCCCTGCTGTTGGCTCGAGTTCGTAATTTGGAAACCTCATGGATCTCTGATTTGGACGACTCTGCCAGCGCCACTGATGGATCCACGATGCAAATGTCCTCCGGAAGAAATGCTTCCTATTTATTAGCTTCCATGTTCAATCCGGAACTGGATCTGACGCTGGATGACCGTGGCGTCACTCATGCCATTCGTCAACTCAATTTCATCCAAATGAAACGTAAGTTGTGTAACTCTTTTACTTTGATGCATGAAAAATATACTTGTGTAACTTCCAGAATGTCCCTAAATTTCCCAGAATCTACATTTATTTACGAAAGAGTTTATTTTTAGCTGCGGATGTGAGTCATTTTTGCCGTGTGCCTGTGCCAAATTATATGAGTTTTGTGTTTGGTTTAAATTTACATAATTTTTTGCACTTAATTTTGTGAATGTTTCCGGACTATTTGCAAATGAAACTATTTTGCATAAATAAGACATCACTCAAGTTTGCAAATTGGAATTTGGTAAATTTAGAACCTTTTTCAGTTCCCTGTGTTCATTTTATCTCATTTGCATGTTGTTATGAAGAAAGTTGAACCCAGAGGATACAAAGTTTGTTCATTTTTGTTACTCGAAAGAAGACACCATGCACGTGCAGTGGCGAAAGTCGTTCTGTCCACATGTCTCTTCCCTCTTTACTTATTCATGAACTGTGTAATTTGCGTGCTTATTTATATTCCATTCGGTCCATCTTGTCATTTATTTGCCTGATTTATCCTTCGCCAACTACTTTACACAAAATAATTTTCACTTTGGTATTATACAATTTGCTTCTAAATCACGAATCGCAAAGTGATGATGAGATTTTTGTCAAAGTCAAGGAATATAGTAAATACTTAGAGACTTGGAGGAGCATGCATCATCTTTTCAGCAATTCTTTATTTCTCACAAAAGTTTTTATATAACACACAATTCAGTAGAAAAAACATTTTTTGCTGCTCTCAACATTCGTGTAAGATTGCGTTCTCATTTTATATTAATCAGCCTTTGAATTTTCATGCAAATTTGCTATCAATTATTTAAAACTACCAAAAATTGGATTATTTTCGCTAATGTGTTCAGCATTCACAGATCATAGAAAAGTCAAACTTCAACTGCTTGAAAACTAGTTACAGCTTCTTACTCTTAGAATTGATTGTTTGCTTATTGTAGCTAAAAGTGTCCTATTCTGAATTGTGAATAAATCGACGAGTAAACTAAAATGGAATGTGATTGCATAATCAATGTTGTGAATGATATTTTTCTTCATTGAAGCTGCTAAAGATGGTGAGGAACGGAAGCCAGCAGGTATTCATCTTTTTCACATTTTCTCCTCGCTCTCCACGAACACTATTGACGCCAAGCACAGGCAACTTATTACTCAAGCTTGTTACAAAATTTGCACTTGCATAGTCTTAAACAAAACCTATTATGCAAATTACCCTCTTTTCCCCTCAGCAACAAAATCACTGGCTGATAACGGTAATTGTGCCGAAACGCATTTCTGCTGTGTTTAAGATAAAGCCTCAAAGACGACGGTCTACGCACATGCATAAGTATATTTGCCTCAGATTGTAATCAAAATTACGCATCAGTTAGAAAACTTGCGTAGACCATCCAACTAAAGTAAATACACACGACAAACTGCTTTCAACATTGTTGAAATACTTATCATTTAAAAAATCAGTACTCCCATTAAAACTAAATTGCAGAGATCACTTTCTTAGGCGTATCCAATTTGTGTGCCTAATTGTGCTTCGGACGCCACGATCATCGAGTCATCCTTGCATTTTAAGCTGCATTTGCAACTCCTGCTGCTGAAATGATGGAATTACTTTCTCCCATCTATGAAACTATTTCTTTGAGACGAAACGTGACGCTAGATATAAATTGAGATTAACATTCTACAAGTTTCAGTCCCACCAGCCGACACTTCTAATTACGAGGAGAGGGGAATGATTTTTCTCTGAGGAGATTTCAGTACTTGAAAAGACGACGCTGAAAAAGACTGATTTTTTTAGAATACGACTAAATGAGATCTTTAAAAGAGAGAGAGAGAGCTGGAGTGAGAGGATGAAGAAGAGGGGACGTCACGCTAATAAAAATTGATGGGTTGAGTTTCCTTGTTTGAAATTTGAATGAATCTTTTCTAGGAACTTAACCAAACTGATGGAAAATTGTAGGAAACGTTCTTTCTTATGCAGTGCAAATTAAGTCATCGCATCCTCTGCATTTCCGAGATCTTTCACTCACTTATATACGACTGCAACGTACTTAAATGCTCGTGTGGAGAGCAAGAGAGAGAGATGCTGGAGAATCTCTAGCTACAACTAATAAGGGAAATAAGTCGTGAATAAATGCGCTTCCTCCTGAGTTTAATCATCCACAAGCAAGACGTTTCATTAGGGTATTGACATTTCAAGCAGTTCTTGTCAGTCATCAATTTGCTTAACTTATTCTGAAGTATAAGCTAGTTGGTAGTTGAAACTTTCCGTTCGGCATCAGCATTAGAAATCTTGAACTATAAGTACTGTTAACTACGACGCAGATAAATCCTCTCTTTATGAAAGCAGGTAGACACCTTGAAAACTAATTTTCAAACGAAAAAATGCATACCTTTAGATGCAGGGTGCACAGCTTGAGAGTTGAAACGTGCATACACTTGCTGCCAAGTTTAATTGAATACTTGCAATTTTCCTAGGCCGTGTCAAAAGATAATTGATTAATGATCCTATTGGAAATCAGGAGCCGTATGGGTGTTAGCAAAATTCAGCGTAAAATAGCCCACGAGATTGTTTCCACTGAGCTGAGCGGGTATCCTCACAACGGATCAAAAATAAATCGGTTCAGGATTTCTGCTGGGACGAAGAGGGTGGTCTCCGAAGACAACTAAACTCCATTGTTCCATGTCACGTCAAAAGACATTCGGCTGACAGACGACACGGTCCTGAGTATGGATCGGTTCAGGACTTGTGGTTCATGCAGTGATGGATGGATTTGTGTTTAATGCTGATTTACTTTCTCACGTTGACCATTCTCAGGGATCGAATTTATACATAATGAGTTAAGAGTAGGGGGTGAAAATGCACACTTTGTGATTTTTTCGACGCATTGCTATTGAGGGTATGTCACTTAATTATAAAAAACTATTAGAGCTGAAAATAATTTTCAGCCTTCAAAGCTCGACCAATAAAATAGTTCAAGAAAATGTGTACCGATTTAAGTACTTGGTCAAAGTAATATAATATTTAATAAAAGCCCGAAGTCGAGACTCCAAAATCACAGTTGTAAATATGTATGTTCCCATAAACAGGTTTTACTGGCAACCATATTGAAGAAAGTGGTACTATTTTCCAACTTTGGGACTGCGATGAGATATTATGGGAGGGCTACTAGGTGAGATATTATGCCGAGCAAATGCAAGGTTTCTCAAATTAACGCCTCGCACAGACAAGAAAGCAACCAAATAAATTGTGTTAAAGAGGACTTTTGCCGTGTTGTATGTGCCACTTGGCCCGGGAGCAGACAACGCCCGGCTTACCAAACTCGATTAGCCCACTTTATTTATTTCACTGTGTTCTCAACTAAACAAAAGTTTGTGCAAAATTATGGCGAATCCCTTGTGACAAATGCGTTTGGCAATTTAACTGCATTCGCCCGACTTGTACTTTATTTCTGCGCTTAATTGCTCAAGTGGCCAAAGATGATTTTTCTGTGCCGTCGTACTTTCCGAGTACATACATATGCAGAGGTTATGATGACGCATAATGGAGCCCCGTTTCTACTCATCGTTGAACAAAAGAATATCTAGTTTCTCATGTGGGTTGATGGTGTGATGTAAATGAACCTGACACTCTTTGTATCTCTCAACTTCCATGCTCTCTCTCTGAGCTTTTGCATTGTTACAATTTCGCAAACATTCCAAAGAGAAAATAAATTGTTTACTGTTGACTGCGGATGCTTGGTTTGGAAACCAAGACTGTAAATTTTGCAGCAAGCGTGGAACTCGCAGTGGTCGTTGTGAGCTTTGCTGCATCCAATGCCAGCGAAAGAGTTTACTTACTTGGTGAACACAAAGAGAGCTTATTTCCCCGAAGACACTTTGCTTATGCTCGTAGAAGAAGGAACCCAACGTATGACGTACATAAGCTGGTGGGTTTTTGTTTCGTGCTCGTTCCTTGATTCCTTCTTTGTGGGGTGTCCTCTATCTAGTCGTCCTGGTAGCGTGAAGAAAGCGCAAACCTGGTTTTCCTCTGGTGAAAGTTGACGTTGAGTATGAGTGAATTAAAAGTGAAGCACTTGACGAGTTAAGGGGAATTTCATGCACGACTTTCTGCACGAGTTTGGGGCTATGGTGGACCTGTCTCCAGCCTGTGACAAAAGTCCCATTGTTTCTTGTATGCGATAAATGCGAAAATTTCCCAGTGCAGAACCAGTCAGTCGGTTTGGCTCATCTGGAGAAAGAAGAATTATTTAGAAGGGAAAGTTCTGAGAGAGAAAAGTTGAGGAGTGGATTTATTTATTCTCTTGTCCTTGTGGAATAAACATTGCACAAACTTAAATCATGAGTTAGTTGAGTTATTCTTCATCTCGACATGAATTTAGCTAGTTGGGCCTCTCTTGATGAGTTTATGAATTTTAAATTAGACTAACAGAGTAAATACTTACTTGGTCGGTGGTTGGACCACGTTTATTACGAATTTATTCCTAAACACTGAGGTTTTACGACCATGGTGGACTACGGAAGGGTGAAATTAAAAGAAGAGTGAATGAAGAGTGTGGGATTTTAATTACTTTATATTAGACCTTGGCGTTTATATTCCTACTAACTAATCCACTTGTTTGAGGAATTATTGGCCAACCACCAACCCTCTGATTTGTGCACGGTATATGCACTGTGCATATGCACTGTGAATGTGCTACTACTCTGGCTGGGCAGTCCTACTTTAATATGAGTGGAATTTCACATGCTAATATATAATTTTTGTGGTTACAAACATATTCCGTAATTTTAGTTGGAAAATTATACATGTATGCATTTTAGCAAAATTAATCAATAGATTTGAATTTGCTTGTTTTGCAGCCCCTGGACCAGTCGTCATAATTCCTGAGGAGTGCAGTGCGGAAAATAACAGCGTCACAATAGCTTGGCAGCCTCCCCCAACCTCCTTTGTTGAAGGATATGTATTAGAGCTGGACGATGGAGCTGGTGGAGCATTCAGAGTATGACGAATTTAAAATTATATTTTATTATAAAACTGGCAACAATCTCTCGTGACTAGTAAATACGGCTCAAGTACATATTTCCCAGTCTTGATTGCATTTAAAATCCATAAATTAATTACAATCCAAAAAGTCAGTGCACATATTTTTAGGTAATTCCTTGTCCTATCCTAACCCCCAGATCTTCCTTGAAACGGAAAAACCCCGGTCTGGAGGCTTGATATGGCATCTTATCGTGAATGAACATCTCGCAGTTCTTTGCTCTTGCTGGACACGAAATCATTTCCTCCATAGGATGTGATCTTGTAGTTTCTTCATCTGACAAATAAGAGGCACGGGAAGGGAAGTTTTCACCACGAAAGCAGGAAAGGTCTTCCTTCCTCAGAAATTTCCGCCTGGTGTGAATCTTGATTTTGCCTATTCATCACTCTGACACCGACACTGTCCATTTTTTCTTGTTCTCTTTCTTCCTCCTTTCTTTCCCTTCTTTTCACTCGATAAAAGGTCTGCTGCGTAATTGTAAACTTGTTCAATGCATGTTTTGTCCTCTCGTTCTCCTAAAAACGAACCCAGCCAACTTCTTCTCCGGATATTTTTTGACCATGGTTTGAATGCCCACAACCCAGCGTGTGTGCACTGTTGCTTAAATAATACACGTGTAATAAGGAGCAGTGGCTTAGGTATCAGAGTGAGAGCGTAATACACTTTCTCTTCCACCACGTCGCGTAGCTGTTTTCTCAATTTGTCATCAATTCTGGGCCGTCTACCCGTCTAAACAGGGTCATCAGTCTGGATAAAGGCCTAATGTGGACAAACCTAAAAAACTCATTCAACCCGAGTATCAACATAAGTAATATCTTTTAGCAAAACACTTGCTGATGACGACCGCAAAGGTTTGTTTGCTCATGTGTAGAAGAAAAAAAACATAAGGATTACAGAAATTGTGTCGTCTTTAGTCTTTTGTAAGAACTGGGTAAATATTAACGGGAAATTGCGAGGCTGTAGAGGAATATCAATTTACAGTGCCTAAAAATAAAAGCAAGTCAGTAGGCAACACAATAGTTTCACATCCGCATGAATGACCACAACACTTTTGGTTTGTTTATACGTCGTGTGGTGTGGAATATTACTGTCGAGTTATTGATTACAAAACAGCATATTTTTACGAGAGGCAATTTCTGATTGCTCATACGAGGTTTTCCTTTCGCGATCTAGTTACAAAAGTAAACAGGATTCGTAGGCGCAAAATATTGCCGAGACAGCATTTCTTATGATTTTGATACCAAGCTTTGGCTGTAATGTGAAACCGACGAAGCAGAAATAGCTTTATCATAAATGATCATAATACTGATATTCTTTACTTGCACGGTGAAGCTGACACCGCAAATTCGTAGGCAAAGCCATGCATCACTATCAATAAAGGTGGATTAGTAGATTGCTACTGATTAGTTGGTCAGCTATTTTTGAGCTAAATGTCCCATTTGTAAACTTACTGAATAAAGTTGACTGGACAGTAATGTATTCGAAATTTATCTTTACCGTCACCTTAGCCTATTGTTTCGAATTTCTACATATAAATACAACTCGTACGTCTGCGGGAAGCTAAATACGGGTAGATACGAGTACATTTAATAAACTTACGTCATATTTAAAGCAAGTTTTGCAAGTTTGCTCACTCAATGATCCATGGCCAGGAGGCAGAAGGCAACGTGAAGGTATCACTGGTGGTAGCAATGATGCGATGAAAGTGGTTTCAGCTTAAGTGAAAGTTTAGCAAACACGGATTTTGGTGGTTCTGTCCATGACAGTGGAAGGAGTGAATCCCGAGGCCAGAGACAAGTCAAGGAAAGCCTCACCGGTTGGATGATCTGATACTCCAGTGCGGTTTACACCAGGTCATATCCACGACTCTGGACTCAAATATGCAAATTGATTAGCTATTGTCGTTGCTACTTTACTAATTTGGAAGTACGGAATTCTGGTTAGTATTACATGTGCAAAGTTGGTGCTACACTTCGGCTACTCCCTCGCCACAAATTCCCCTAGTATTAAATAATATAGTCGAGTTTGATATTCTGCCTTGATAAGGTTTGTCCCAGTTGTTGATTCTATGCAAATATTTCTCCATGGAAGAGACGTCAAATACGGGCTGAATGATTAATCTCATCTCTATTCCAAATTATTATCTATTAAAAACGAGACATAAATATTTCGAATTTTAAAACAAGCATCAGTGACCAAACTGAATAGCATGCTTGCGTAATGTTGATTTTTGATTGTTGGCATGTCTGAACACAGACACATAAATATTTATTAATCTTCCAAGTCTATGTATGGATAAAAGGTTTTATATTTAAACCGATTATATATTAACTAGTGCACTTATGTATCTCTAGCCTAGTAATGCATCTTCGTGTTTAGCTACATACATACAACTGATAAAGTCATGGCGGCATGTTGATGCATTGCATAATAAAAATTAATAAGGAAGGAAGTGCACAAGTCCGGAAAGTCGATTTCCGTCCGTCCTGATACCATTCTAACTAACTGGCACGTCTAACGAACCGTCGACTGCCTACAGATAGGGTTGATCACGGTCAATAATCTTCATTATTGTTATAATTACTGACAATGAGCACTTTATGACTACGTATAAATATCTATTTTAGCAATCTTATATATATATCTGACTCACCAAAAAGGGTTTGATTATCTCCAGCAGCAGGTGGAAGCGCTTATAATAGAAAGCTGAGGTTGAAGTGTATATGTAACTGGTAATCATAAATTGGTCAAAAGAACTCCGTGCTGCTGGGGATGATGGATTTGACGTTGTTGTGTAGACGGGCGTATACGAGCTAAAAATAAGAGCTGGGTGGTTGATGCGATGTATGTAGGTAATTGAAACCTTTGATTGACTGTGTTTGATTGACTTTGTTTTGTTGTTGTATCTCAACAGGAAGTTTACTGTGGGAAAGAGACAATTTGCACCGTGGACGGTCTGCACTTCAATTCACTGTACAATGCACGCGTCAGGTCATTCAACAGCACAGGCGAGGGCGGATACTCCGACACCATAAGTTTACAAACCGCAGAGGGTAAGTTTTTTCTAATAATTATAATGCTCGCGTTTTTAGTCGTTTTTAATTGCATTATAAACTTGCATTCATTAATATTTTTGTCTGTCTGTTCTATTTAAATTTATGTGCTCATTCTGAGTTGTGCAAAAAGTCCATGATTATAATTAAATGGGCATAAATATTCAAGCCTGAGACTTTTTAGCCCGAGTCAGGGCTTATGGAACCATCATGTCCGTCCGTCCGTCTGTCCGTCTTACGATAACTCTCATTAAACCAATCCGATCGACTTGAAATTTGGTACCCATGTAGTATGGGACAAATGAGGAGTTAAGTTCTAAGATGAGCGAAATCGGTCAAGTGGTTGACCGGTGGGGGTCATATAGGTGGGTGGGGTATTATGCACCAAAATTTCAAATCGTTCTAGAAAGCTAAAATTTGGCACTCAGGTGGCTAATGGTGTCTAATTGAAGAATATGAAGAGAAATTTGTAAAATTTTCATCTGGAGGGACCCGAGGGGGTGACCCATACGGATTTTTGAAATTCCTCAAATCAAACTGAAATTTGATAGAAAAGGTGCTAACAGCCCCCAATGGAAGAATATGAAGTGAAATCGGTAAACACTTTAAGTGGAGGGACCCTAGGGGGTGGCCCATGCCGATTTTAGAAATTGTCTTAAAAAGATGAAATTCGGTATGATGAAACTTAATAGCTTCTTATGAAAGTATATGAAGTTAAAACCGATCAAAGTGGAAAGTGCAATGTCATAACGAACGAATCACTATTTGAAGGATCCAGTAGGGTCACCCCCACTGTTTTGGAAAACAATCGTAGAAGACAAAAAGTTGGCATGATCCTGCAGGGGCAGATCAGCTTAATAAATGTGAAGTAAATTTTAAGATTTTTTTGCCAGGAGGACCCAGTAGGGTGACCCATACTGGTTTTTGAAATTGGTCAAATAAGTTGACATTTCGCATGCTGGATCATGGGAACATTTTTGACGTTTAAATATCACAAATATCAAACTGCAGTTCGCAATTGCGAATTGTAGTTGGTACGGGTCATTTCTCATTTGGCAAAAATTTAGAAGCGGACTTTGTCCCTGACTCGGGCTATATAAACACTGCACACTGTAGGTTTTTATTCAGGAAGGTTGAATTTATAGATATGTACATATCGATTTCTAACTTGGCACATTCGAATGTTGTCAGAGTTTTTTTCTTATTTATTTGCTGGCTCGGTTGCAGATTGCGACGGTTGCATTAAATAAGCTTCGAATATGGGTGAGGTTAGGCTAAAAGTTTAAGCAATTATATGGACCATTCATTCCATTGTCACAGAATGCATACTTTATGGAGAGAGACTAGAATTCCAGAAATTTGCATAAGACTTTTTAACTGCTAAACGCAAAGTGGGTCTTACGTATGTACACACTTAATCACTGTGCAGAACTTATGGCGACATTTCCTATTTCATGACTATCATATTCACAATCTCTACTCCAATAGAATTAAAAATTGAGCTTATAATGTACATGCACGTAAAATACTTTCAATACATACCACACATGGTCCATACAACTGCGTGTGTGCGATTTTAATATTTTTTGGTGAGGGATTTGGTGACCATGTGTAGCCAGTCCACCCACATAAATCAGAATTAGAAATAACTGAGCACCTGGTTGGGCGAACTTACTACTGCTGAATATAATTGGAATGTTTCAACATTGCTTATGTATCCTACTTTTTATCAGTTTAGTAGAAATAAATTAACGGTTTTTTTAGAGGTCAGTATGCCAGAATCTAGAAAATAATAATATCATGCCCGCATGGCGAATAAAGTTCTTTTTACCTTCAACTACCCAACCCTATCTGTATAATTAACTAACCCAATAATGCTGCCTTTTTTATTAGTATTAAAAAACAAGGGGAGAAATGAAAATTTTATTCACTGACACGCACATACTTGTGAAATAAAATCATAGACAAGAAGATGAATAATTTGATAATTTGCTATGATCTAACTGACATTTGTTAATAAAAATTATCATGTCTTCATCAACAAAAATTATGTCAGTATGTAATACTAAAGTTCGAATTTTATGTATGTTTTCAGTCGCGTGGTTTACATTTGATCCAAGTCTGATAGCGCACGGTGTTCGCCTCTTGAATGAGAACAACACAGCAACAACCGATTCCTACGAGCCGAGGTACGAATTGTTAATTGTAAACTAATATCACTGCTGGACCACATTGGGGTGTCTGCATCGGCTGTAATTAATAATATTGGAGGGCATCTCCCTCCAGTGACATAGTCCTGTTCTTGCGTAGAGAACTCATCCTCAGTTGAACATTAATTTCTTTTTTTCAGGTTGATTTTGGGTAGCGTTGGCTTCGCACGTGGCGTACATTATTGGGAGGTAAGGTTGTTTTCTATGTAATTATTACTATAATGCCCATGCTTCTTAATTTCACTATAATTTTACTTTCTTCAATGTAGTTCTCGGTGGACAAATGTAAGTAAAATTTCCTTAGTGTGATTTCTTTCTCATAAATTGCTGGTTAAAAACAATTGCATTTTGTCAACTTTACAGATGACGCAAGCGCCGACCCCTCATTCGGTATTGCCAGGATAGATGCTGCAAAAGATGAAATGTTGGGTAAGTCAACAAAGCGACTGTTTAATTAGTAATTTGTACAATAATATGTGTTGGGCCATCCTGTCTAAATGTACGAACTTTGTGTATACGAAAAATAAGAGTGAGGAACAAATCCGCTAGCTGGAAGGTGACATTTGATGCATGTATTATGGCTGATAACTAGTTCATGTCGTGGGACGTTTAATAGTATCTCATAAAATTGGGCATTGAATATATAGTGCTTTCGATCAATTCCCTTCCTTCAAGATATCCTAGTTTACGACCCAACAAACCATGCTAAATATTTGATATGCCAAAAAAAGACACGACTTTGCCTGTGCATTTAGCTATCTGACTTCGTATGAGGCAATTTCTACTACTTTACGATGCGAGAAACCCATCTCGTTGAATCCTGTAACGTTGCCGCATCTCAAATTAGCGAACACGAGCCAAAAAATTTGCACACAAAGTCGAGATCGTAAAAAGCTACAATAACTCATGAATTTGTGTGTGTTAGTACATCACATTAACAGCCTGTCAAACATCCAGAAAATAAAAAAAGTTACACATAATAATTGTCACGCTCTAATAAATCCGTCCATTTACAGGAAAAGATGACAAGGGCTGGGGAATGTACGTTGATCATCAGGTTTGTTTCTCTCAATTTTCACGATTAAATTTTATCCAAATCAGATAAATAACAAAACGAGTGTTATTAATCATTCAACTTTTAACCAGACAAAACAATCTCTTGAATGTCTTACAGAGGTCTTGGTTCATCCATTGCGGGGTTCACTCGTGTCGAACTGAAGGAGGAATTGGGACCGGATCAACTGTCGGGATACTCTTGGGTAATTAAATGATCATTTAATTGACTATTCAAATTTACTTTCCATTCTGGCTTATGTAATTGATTTATTCGTCATGTAGTTAATTAATAGAATTATATCAAAAACAATAGTTATCAAAAGGCAACAATCACATAAGGAGAGATGTGCGAACAATAATAAATAGCATACTTTGGAGAACATACATTTCAAGAAACAATACATCCCATCTCTTTGTACAGATTAGGTCGGGGGGCAGGCCGTGGAAGTTGTTTGACTGGGTCACGATTCGGGTCCAAATGTTTGCGTCTTCCTTGCTATTAGCCATCCATCTTTCCTTAACTGAGGAATGTCGAATTCGGAACGGGGACGTTTCACATTCGGATAAAGTTGCAAAGTTCGGAGGGCGAATTGGCACATCGTCATCTACGAACTCGAAAAAGGTGACACCATCCTCGTAATGATCATTTGCTAAGATCTTCGCTGCAATCTGATTCTCAAGCGGGATGGCGGCTGTGTTTGTGATGATGAAGAGTTCCGAGTTACTCATGACATTAAATTGGTCTCCATATGTCTAAAAAATAAGAAAAGATGAACAATTAAAGGGGTCGCATTACAACAATTACGCAAAGTAATGCAGTCAGCAATAATAATTCGACCGGTAATTTACCATCCAAAATCCTTCAGCCTGTTCGGCTACAAACATCTCCTTGCACAGAGTCACCATCATTTCCAGACAGATGCAGGGGTCGGCTTCGTTCAGCAAACGAAGTTTTATTTCGCTGCTGGTACTAGGAGAAACAGTGAAGTGGACACGTCTCATGGCGAAAACGCCATCACTTGACAGCCATTTGCCAAAGTAAAATTGTTTCCTTATGGTGGGATCTTGTATCAAGTCAGCCCAAGGTCGGTCGCCAATTCTGAAGGACGTGAGATCAAAATGGGGGGGTAAATACAAGAGGACGCTCAAATACAGGATGTGAATATCTGGGGTGTTGAAAACTCGGTTGTTGTTGCCTAAAAATTTGGCGCTTTTTTTTGTAGGGTTTGCGTTATGCGCCTTTTGCGCGTCCGATTGTCCACCCTTCCACATTCTACCAAAATAACTCCACAAAGATTGACGTTTCGGTTTTCCGTTGTGGTGTCCATTAAATACAAAATATCCCAGATCCAGTGCGTGGTGTACCGTCTTCTTGAATTTGGATGTCACACCTGCATCTGCCATGATCATTCGCCGCTGATCATCATTGGCATCCCGGGTTTTGAACCACTCCAGAAAAGAGATTCTTGCCCTTTGGAGTCTTGGGTTCTTCGAGTAGACCGGCACACCTCCTCCTAGATCTCCTCCAACTGCATCACTTGACGATGACGATCCCACAACCACTGGGACTGGGACGAGTGGGATGGCCTCGTTTGCCTCAACTTCTCCAAAACGGAAGGCGGCGTCGTCAAATGAGGCATCTGCAAAATAACCAAAATAGTTACTTACTTGGTTAGTTATTTATGTCGGCCAGAGTTCCTCAAAATAAGTGCACAAAGAGTGCTACTAAATAATAATTAGGTAAGTTATAATTACCTTCAATTTTTTCATCATCATCACTGTCGTCGTCGTGATCGCTTGGAGGCGGGGATCTCCGAAACCTCTTGGTCGGGACAGGGTGGGGAAATGGCTGCTGTTCCTCTTGTTCTCCAGAAGTTTGTGAAGAACTGGAGGACTCTGAAAAATAATGACAACACAATGATATTTAATTATTGGTCATACTTGTAACAAAAGATACATATGTAATTAATTAGTTAAGCAGTACCTTCAGTATTAATCGAATCATCGCTGTCCTCGTCGGCAAATCCCGCATATTCAACGGGATCCTTGTCGATATTGCGCTGTGAGCGCCTTGGTCCTGACATGGTATGAGACTGACTAAAAGACACACTAGAATTAGTGAGACGGTAAGGGGGGAAGAGAATTAAATATTGTCAATGTTTTATATAACAACCTTGGTAGGGGGGACATGAGGTGGTCGTCGCACTTTGAGAGAGAGGAAGGAGAACAAATGACCGTACTCGTGGTCCTTCAGAGAGTAAATGCCAAAATTCACTTTGTCCTGACCTGGACAACAATATCGTTTTGTTTACACGCTTGCTTCACAGCCACCTGCGAGTAATGCATTACTCTGGTGGTGGTGTGAGCACGACAAGACAGGACAAAACGTGTACTTGTTGAGATAAAGAGAGCATTGTAGATAAGAGAGCTAAGAAACGAAAGCATTGCACCAAAATGCAAACTTAAACATTGAATTGTATTGTTTTAAACTATGTTTTTAAATTCGTAAATGAATTAGTAATAAAGTTTAGAACATCTCTTGGGACTCTCACTCCCTTGTAGAAGTGGTATTCTTAAGATACCGATGGTATTTGAAAATAAAATGAAAATATATTTATGATTGTATTATTATAATATTTAGGATAATATTTATGATTGATTGATTTATGATGTCTATTTGTCTATTTTGTTAAATAGACCTGGACCGACGCCAAATTTCATTTTATGTCAACGAAGAACAACAAGTAAGTACAATTTTACTACTTATTGTGTTATCAAGTTACATGATGCTATTTATTTAATTCCGCGAGTATGTACGCTTTCCTTGTTGTGGTTGAATATGTGAAAAAAGATGATAACTTTGAACAAGTTGAGTATGACGTCAATCGATTCAATAATTCTTGGGAAAAAATCGTGGGTAGGTGGTTGGCGGAAACGAGAATTGAACTAAGCACCGTTTCCGGAATGAGATGGATAATACGAGCATTAGGGTGAATAAAAAGAATTGATCTGAACACTTTTTTTGTTTCAGGGTCCAGTAGCTTTCACTAGTTTATACGGTGTCTTCTACCCAGCTGTCAGTCTAAATTGTAACGTCACAGTCACCCTACACACCGCCATGGAACATCCCGTTCTCACGGAAAATGGGACGCTGTGCAGGCGTTAGATTGGATGAAGAAATGGGTGATTTGCAGGTTGGTTATAATTGCAGATCTGCCTGTTCCTCACGTTAATCGGAAAAATGTTTTCCTAGCCATGTTGTTACGACCCATCCTTTTAAATCTTACTACGATTTGTCCAACTATTGATTTTACCATTTTTCTCGCTTATTTTATTAGTGTCACTAGTACTAGTCTGTGAAACCCCAAAGTGTTTATATCCAGTTGTCAGTTAAAATGTTATGAGATACATTTCATCCAAATGTGTACATATAAATCTATAGTTGATCTCTTTTGTACATTAAAATAACATGTAACTCTCGCCATGTGCAGTCATAGTCATTAAGGTTCAAGTGTGCTACAAGTTTTTTGCAGAATACTGACGTTACGTTTATGATATAATCACAGATGCGTGCATTCACGTAATTTGGAAGTTTCCTATTTTTTAAATTGATACAACTGTTTAAATATGAGTTTGTATTATTCGGTGAGTTTTTTTAACAAAGTGTACAAATAAATATATGGAAAAATTACTTGCCCAAATATAGAATTGAATAGCAAAAAAATGAAAATGAAGAATTCGAAAGTACGTACCGTTTATCTATATACATAAGTTTACAAACAACTTTCGCGTATACTCTGTCAATGCTTAATTAAATGGTAATTAATCCAGACTGCTCTTTAGTACAAGTAAATCAAGTAATTAAACTGACTGTTGGCGTTTAAATGTTTTATACCAATATCGCGTCAACCTCGATAAATAAAAAATTGTTGCGTTTTCAAAGTACATGATTATGTCCATTTGTTGACTAAATTCCGCGTACTACTCCGCCTCTAGTCGAAACGTAGGTCATTATCACAGTGACATTGAGATAATGCATATACACATCCATCCATTAACTCGTCCCCAATATGCTCAGAAGGAGAACAAGCTCGTTAAATAATTAATAGAAATACAAAGTTCGCCAATTATTTTGCTCTCTCCGCCACCACCCCTAATTCATAAATGTCATCAAAGTCTTTCACCAAAGTCCACAAAATTTGTCTCCTTATGTTTTATTCACATCAACTTCAAAGTACCAGCCAATGCCACCAACAATGCCACCAACATTCGTATATTCACTAACGCACTTGCCCTACTCCACGCTTGATGAATGCATGTCGGCGCCACGACGTTGAGAGATTCGACGAGGACAAAACTTCCCCTAGTTTGTGTCCTCTGGTCGGGCATACCTCACTCGCCGATGAGAAAGTTCATTAGGAAATTACTTATCAACTTTACTTTGGGTGGCCGGGACACGAAATAAGTTCAAAGTTCTATTCTAGGTAAGAGATTACAAGCTTACAGTTTTCAATTGAATGGAGAATAATGCAGCGGGATGTCAACCCCTAAGCCAACCATGGTGCAGAAAGCAAATCTAAATTCGATGCAATAATGACTATCAGCACAATGTCCTTGATTCATTGTGTATCTAGGATTCCCTGTGGACTGACTTAATGGGCAATGCATTATTGCACCAACCAACCGACAGTCAATTTGAATCTGTCAGCAAACCCTACAGTGCAGCAAGGAATGGAAGGAGGGAGGGAGGGAGGGGGTGGATGCGTGTTGGGTGCGAGTGATGATAACGCACCTTTTGTTACATGGAGGCTCTTGTTACACTGTGCAAACAAAGAAAAATAATAATATTCAGTTTTAAAATAACTTTGTTACAGACGAGAAGGCAGCCTAATAAAGTAAGAAGAGGAGTAAATTATGTATGTGTTCTTCCACGATAGAAATGCAGTAGCGACCAGATTAACCAATTTCATTAAAACATCAATCATTGTTCACATTCCATTATTTTCAACTTGGGACGTACATTTTTTATTTATATCCAAGTTAATTTATTGTCGACGTACATGTATGTACTATAAAATATGCAAACGATGTCCGACTTGTACAATTATTTATTCCAAGCACACATTTACATATAGTAAGGTTGATGAAAATAAGTTTGCATTTGGCCATCGTATATTGCATGCACAATGGCCCATGGTCCTGAGGTGATGAAGGATAATACGTAATAAATATAGTACTTGTCCTTAGTTATAGATTTTTATAAGTAAATATTATTTTTAGCATGAAAAATTAAGTTGCATACATGGGATATCAATTAACATGATAAATAAGCGCAAGTTAATGTACACATGGATTTATACACATTATTTGTGTATATAGCGAACACAAAAAGACAGCACAACGAAGCAAATGCAAAAACTATCCAAAGTAGAACACTGGCACTCGAGGGTGGGGGAGGAAACACATTTAGGTATTTATGTATGAGTCATTTGTAGGGTCCATTCCATGTGCGGACCATTCGGCTGACGCTGACTCACTTCCACATTCCATTTGAAACCATCACAAAAAAATTCTCACCATCTCACTTGAAACTGAAGCTTATGCGATAATAATTCGACGATATTTGTAATAAGAACACAGATTTAAAAAATTGCACCCACTTTTAAATTGGAGTTTTTCTCGTGCTGTCAACATCGAAGTGTCGAATGTCACTAATAAACTCAAACACTACCCAAATGCAGTACAGCTTTAGCAAACTTGTAAAGCCTAAAAGTACTGGTTTAGCCCATAAGATGTTGGCTGTCAACCTTCCTTGATATGTTTCACATGCCGCAAACACGATCAATATCACCAGAAGTATCCAAGCTCCAAGAAACCACTTCATGCAATGTCTGCTATTATTCTAGGAATTTGCCAAAATAGTTTTCCTTCAGTTGTGCATTTTGTCTGAAATTTTTGTAGCTAAATATTAAATGCATACCTGGTTTGCTCCAAGAAACAAATACACGGTGAGGACGAATTGTGCGACGGAGAATATAAGGTATGCAATTCCAAAAAGTAGCGATGGGACATCCGCGTCTCCCCAGCTCCATGAATGTGCAAACTTTTGTACTATGATTAGCCCAGTGAGGAAAAAGGCTCCGGATGTAAACTGAAATTCAAATCGCTTAATTAATAATTTGCTGAATTGCAATTTTGTAATGTCGCATGGTTATGACCAACTTACGAATTCCACTCCTGCCACAGCACGTGCTCCATTTTGCAAAGAAATCCCACAACATGGATTTAAACCCATTATACTTAAAATTGGCAAGAAATCATATAATTACAACAATAGGTTGACACGAGTCGAATAATTTTTTTCGAGGTCACGCTGTGTCTTGCTACGAAGGCGTCTTAACAATTCACTGTTATTGGCCAAACTGTTTATAAACAAACAAATTTCTCTTTGCGCACAGAAATAACGCACTCCGTACTTGCTGAGTGTCAAGCCTATAACAATAGTGCGAATATTGCTACCAAACACAACAGGAATGATGATGTATGAAATGAAATGAAATGATGCAGTGTGAATTGAATGTTAAGGGGACAACTCAGATTTAAAGGGAACAAGCCAACGCTGTAAAGCATTATTCATCATGCGTGAGTTGGGACGAGGTTTTATTACACCAATCAGCTAGCGTTTCCTATAATAATACTTTAGAGTATACGAATTCGATTCGATATGGTTGGCATTCGTCATACAGAAATTATTCTCTTCGCGTCGTAGCGTCGTAAAATGCTGAATAAAATGTGTAGGGAGAGAACAGGTAGGTGGATAACTATGTATGCATATACCTACATAAGTACATAGGTACTACTCCAACACATGACCACGACGATGACGACGACGAGTTAAAGTTACCTGGCGGAGGGCAAAAAACAGCATATGAACATAACAGTCAAACGCTGTTAAAACTTTTGTTGTGCATGTACATATTCGTTCCAGGTTAGTAGGATAAGCCTCGTTTGCAAACCTGTTTTTGCCGATTTTTGTGTAACAAAATTATTCGTATTAGCGATAATAAGAAGAGTTAACGCATAGCTACTAGGCTGAATTGATTTTGATTCCATAAGCAATTATATGATGCGTTGAAAATTGATCAAGTTGATGTATTCAACATTTGCCCTGGTTTGCCGAACGGCATAATAATTGTCAGGAATGGGTGGTGGATTTTTTTATTAGAATTATGATCATGGTGCACCAATAATAAAGTATGATTGGGAATAATTACACGTTCGCAGGTGGGAAACGGAATTTTTGGTAGTTTGATTTAGTTTGGCTTAAAAAGTGGATCAGCATGAATAATAATCGGGTCTGTCTGCTAGCTAAAATATAAACGAACATTTGCTGAATACTTTGTTACTGTTTGTGAATTCATGAAATTTGTAGCATCAGCACTTATACATCTCTATATATCACGTAACAATAGAACACGTAACAATTGAAATCTTTGATGAAGTTTGTGTGGATTGCCAACTAAAAGTTTTGATATTCATATTTTACCTGAAATTACATACGGTATTTTTATACATAGACGAGTCAATAGAAGATTTAGGATAAAGCAAATGGACTACCAATATCCAACCATTTTGTAGCAGAACAGTATCCAATTGATCATCTTCACTCGAGACGCACATAAGTATGCTGTCATAAGTTTTTCTCTCAAGTGCATACTTTTCTTAAGCATACTTTATTCACAATACAATTCTTTCTAACACACAGAATTTCAATGACAATGCAAACTTAGCATTGTCCCATAGAGCAGATTATTATGAAATGCATATGTATAGCCAGAACGGTAAAAAATGAAACCAATTGCAAAAAAAAATTCGACCTTGACTGAATAAATACCTGGATAAATGTAAAAAAACAGACATTCTATTTTGATAACATTAAAAGCCTATAATTTATTGACAGTTTATAGTATATATGTATAGCTATGTACATGTACATTTAGTTATATACATATTTAATTTGAGAATATATTTATTTAGGAATGGTACTGGTGCACGATGATCTGAAAAGTGTACTTCATGCAAAATTTATTTACATCAGTGGCAACACAAGAACATCATCTACGCATTATTATCAAGTCTATGTAAATATGTATGTACAGATTATATTACATGTGCACATCTACTTTAATAGCATCTAGCAAATAACACATTTCAATGAAGAGTCTGCAGTTCAGACTGCAACTTCAACATTGAAGACCACCTCAACTCTTTCACATACAGATGCATGTATGTAGCTATGTATTTATTAATTCATAAATATTTATGTACATAATAAATTGTCGTCTGGTCCCTTCTGTACAACGAGTTAAGTAAAAATCATCATGTTAAACTTGATCATGGTGCTTGGTTTTTATCGATCCCGTACAGAAAATATAATTCCGTAATTTGCTGAATGAGTTTCTTTTTGTCTACGTGTTATTATGTTTTTTGTAACGTAGTCACCCAAAATTCGTATGGACGCTATGAACGGTACGTTGTTTTGAGTAGGATTCTGCATTTTTATAAGTGTCACGAGGAAATAATTTTCTCTGGCATAAGGAAGTGACTTCTCAAAGTTTCCGACTAATTTTTAGTAGGACCTTTAGCTTCTGGACATGAGACATTAGGAATAACGACGTTGCTCTAATGGGCAATTTCCGTGTCCATAATAGTTTTACAATTCAAGTTAATTCGAGGCTTGAGGACATCCTAAGGTCAATTCTGTCGTACTCCAAAAAAAACTTTAGAACATGCGATACCGCAAAATGTCACCCCTTGGAATGCTTTATTCGGAATCTTTATTGGCAAATGCAAATTTGAACTGTACACAAATATTACTAGATCAAATTCACCAATGCTAAACGATGATAGCAATGACAAATGCTAAACCCGTGGTGGCATTTGCAATCGTTGGTTTGTATAAATGGACTCGCTATCTCATAGGATTAATTTCACATCTATGTTAATTTTAATAAGTTTGTCGCTTCACGCATTACATTTTTGATTTTAGCTTTCAACCAGATGTGTATGCATGCGTATTTTATGACTCATCTTCAATATCCGTTTCGCACATTTTCTATAACGAAGAATTAGTTCAGTCGATCGTATGCACCTCTAGTTAACCAAGACTCTCCATTTTTTATACAAATACTTGCTCCAGTTTATTCCAGCCACTGGATTAGAAATCTGATCCCAATTTCCTTGATAATTTCCGTAGCTTAGAAAATCGTCCCAATTAAAAGAAACGGCTAATGGATTATGGCCTTTATATCCTTGTTTTATAAATAGAATTGAAGCCTGATATACATACGTGTAACAAACCAAGTAGAAAAAGAAGCTTATACGTGTGCGTAAGTAGAAGGCTAAATATTTAGGTTCGGCAATCTGAAAATACTGATGTACCATATATAAAAATGTATTCTTTGGTAAATATTATGCAGGATATAGTCTTAACATTATGCCATTTTTTATGTCTTTTAACTGTAAGAGAGATAATATAATTAATTTTGATACTCAATATTTCCTCAGCAGATATGAAAGCTTCTTTAAGCTACATAATGTGTCATGCATATCGAAGTAACATCTCTCAAGTTGTGAATATTGCCATATGAATAGTGTTTTATTTAACATATAATTTTGTATTACATTAGTTCGGAAAAGAATAAGATGGTTCAAAACTATCTTGCATGTGACTTTTATTTCCAAAAGACCACCGCCCCTGAACAGTGGCACGTTCAATTTGGCCCCAACGGGAATAAGGATGGACGTGATGATTTTTTTCGTTCTTTTCTCACATTATGCCATGTCGTCTCGCAAGATACGTCCGCGCCTACAAATTCCACACACAAGAAAAGTATTCTTTTGGATAGAAAAAACTTTCCCTCTTGAACTGCGTTAAAATAGGTTTGGTGATCTTGCATCAGCGATCGAATCTAATCTTGCAGGGGGAGATCGGCTGGGGGACCGGCAAGGTCAATAAAACCACTTCAGTCCTGCGATTGTAATGAAGAACGAATCATGATAATGCGAACATAACATTTTCTCCAGTGCTCTTAATGGCTGAGGTTGATGGGAAGAGGGAGAGAGAAAGAGAGAGATGAAAGCTGTTCTAGGAAAATGATGTTGATTTGGTTGCTTGTTACCAGCGACAGTAAAAAAAACCGTGCCCAGCCCCACGGACAACGGATGCTGTGAATTTCTTGCCATAGGTCTGAATGACATGCCGTCTTCCTTTGAATGTCTTGCTTATTATACTTAGCAAACCCGTTAGTGGATGATTTCAAAAACCAGTCCGTGGTTGGGGCACTCAAGTTATCTGCTTTGGAATCTACAATATTAGGCCAGTTTATTTCAAATTCATATCTCGATGTTGGTATTTAAAACCGTATGAAAATTAATTGCCCATTTTTGACAGAATTTGGGTGATCCGATACGTTAGTACACAGCCCTTAGATACTAAATGTCAAGAAATAATGGATGGTATCATATGTAATTTAACAACATATATAAATCTATGTAAATGTGTACTTATAAGCAAGAGAGGTGAACATATTTTGTGATGAGTAAGCCAAATAGTTATGAGTTCGACTTCCATTCCTCACACTAGCCACACTTCACGCGATACTTTACTAAAAGTGAAAAATCCATCCCTTCGTCAGTCACCCTACTGACAGGGAAGTTGCATTACCAAATTGGGTCTGTATTTTTCATAGAAATTGAGAATATTACCCTTTACTTTATAACCAGATGGGATCCTTCTCGTTCGTCCTGCTTCCCACTTTCCCTCTTCCATGGCCTCCCAGTAGAGATAAGTTTGTATCTGTATTTACATGCGCAAGTAAAAGTATATAAAAGTCGGACGTGAAGTCGAAGTAGCTCGTGTAATGTACTCTGACTAAAACTGATGAGTTGTTTATTAGTGCCAAATTGAGAATACAATGCTTGGAATTCTCATTTGTATTTTTAGAGAATGTCCTTCTGAAAGATTTATGTATGCAATTTTAAGCAGAAACTTTTCTCATAAAAGTCATAATCCTCATCTAGTAGTATACGCAAACTCTTAATATTATCGCATTTGGGAGTGGATTTTCCCATTTCCTCGGTTTTTGCTGGATGGGCAAAAAAAATGTGGTCGGAATTAAAATTAAAGAAGAGAAAGAGAGTTAAAGCAATTTGTTTTCATTTGCTCTGAATGGGCAATTTACTAAAGAAAACGCAAATAATATGCAATATAAAAATTTACTGTAAATCGGAACCAATTTAAGATTTCTATTTTATTATCAAAGTATAAATTTGTTTTGGCTATACGAAAGGAGTGATTTCTACATTTTTTTTTCTCCTGGGTAAAAGCAAAGTCATGTTGCCCTCGTATAGTCGGAAGTAATAAACAAAACGGGACGTGGGTTTCATCAACTTGCAGGATGTATTGCATGGAAATAGTGACAAAGTTGGGCAGCATGTCAAAGTGCTTTCATTAACAGTTTGCACCATCAATTGTAGAAATATTTTAATAGATTATAGATTTTGCTTTATTATTGAGTCATGCATAAAACTAAACAGTTGCTTGCATATGAATGAAGGTGTTGGCAAATTTTTACTATTGGTCTGTAGGTCAGGCATAATTGTAATACTTAAAGTACGTGCAGATATAAATGTTTGAATACAATATTTACGAATCAAAAAATGTTGGTTTCTTGTCCCACTCACCACAGTCTACTTATTTATATGCATTACATGTCAATCGTGCATACATACATATGCAACAATATTTACTTCAGACAAAATAAGCCTTCATAATCCTTCGTTTGACTTTTTTGGACCAATTATTGCATGATCGCACATAAGAACTACCGATGTTTGGTCATAGCACATTTCCACCGTTACATTTGCTTCAGTGGAGAAGGTTCTGCTGCTCTCTATCTTTAGCTCAAGCTTTCACTCTCACCCAACTTTCTCGCTTGCTTCGTTTTCAGAACACAGATTGCGTCGGGCCCAACGCATCCAGCTCCGTGCTACCGGGTTCTTGCTTTCCTTCAGTTTCTATCACCAAAGTAGTCGATGTTCAATCTCAATAAATTCACGTTCATGTTCGGTATGAAAACATGGAATGCATATTCTGTACAAAAATCTAATTCAGGATACTTTATATATTTTAAGATGGTTGATGTATAAGCTATCAAACCGTTAATGGTTTTCGAATATTTTTTGTCAAAAGTCATTCTGGAGAGGTGTAGGTAGACTCACTCAAAGCTGTGTGACACAAAGTTTGTTTTGACAAATTGAAGTGCACTTTCGCGTAGAAAATAACTTGAAGTTTTAACGAGGTAATTTCGTTTTAATTAAAATATTAGATTCCGCGTTTAAGTACAGAGTTCTTGAAATATACACATTTGAGATCAAGAGTGATTTTAATTAATTATCATTCAGCGTGTTTAAAAATACTTTGAAGGTAACTTAGTATGTATAATTCAAGTCTGTGCTTTTAACTAAAGAACTGGCATTACATAATAAAATTACAAAGGAATTTGCAAAATTCAAAATGGACAGCATTTAATTAAACTTATTTCAAATAATTCCCAAGCCGAAAAATCCCCAACGTGTCAACTTTCTCCTAAATTAAACTTAAATTAACACATACAACCTCTGAACTCTGTAACGATCTATATACGTAGTATTTTAATTTTAATTAGTTCAGTTTCATAGATAATTGCTTATGTAAACACAAGTAGCACATACGATAACACTAGAAGTAAAAATACATACGTGGGAATTAACGTGAGCTTAAATCGGACAAAGAAGCGACCAGTGACGCATGCGGATCTTCTCTTTTCTACACACACACACTGCACTCCTTTACGTATGTCCTTTACATATGTACGTACATTGTAGACGACTTTCACTGTGTGGGTTGTGGAAAGCATGAAATGTGCTCATCTCTCTTTGCCTCACAGATTCTCCATCTCGCAACGATTATGGCGACGACGTTACTTTCGCCACCACCTCCTCACTCTGTGTACAAGGGAGGAAAGAAAGAGACCTACGAGTTCACGTCTCAGTTCGCCAGCAATGTTTGGCTTGGTAATCCGTTGAACTACCCGAGCTTCATAATCTGTTTTCAGAGGTACTTGTTTTCTTAACATTATCGCAACAGTGTCATTTCGTTTTGGTTACGTCAATCCCTTGCACACTTTTCTGCATGGAAGTGTACTTGGAATTGCAATCTGAATTGAATAGCATCACTTTTGCTGACGCCAAGAAACTGTGATTGGGTAACCAACTAGGGTCTAACTTAAACTGAGGAATATAATTGTCAAAGTTAGGAAATTATCCATTTAAAATTTCCATTTCTCTGTATAGTTGTTTTTACTGCAGTATTTTGTACTTTACTTTGGTAGCCTTACTTATTTGTATTCCAGCAGTAAATACAGATTATATTATATTTTTCACTTTTTCAGAAAATGAAATTTAAAACTGGGTGGCTAATGGAATTTAATTATTCATAGGACAAGTGACACCGTGGGACGGACGTTTGTAAGTCGCTACTTTTAAATTTCAAACATGTCCTCTCGTCTCATATTTCGGGTGAGAAAGTCAACAAACGTCACATTTGTATGCAAGTCAAAATCATAATGCGCCGCATTCTGGATGCACACTCTGTCCAGCAATTTGCCCGTGACCTCGTCCGTTTTATGTAGTAGTAGTTTCCGAAAAGTTGTCAAATTACATAATAAAAGTTACAGTGGAAAGTGAGCGTAACAAGTTCAAGATAGTGAGTTAATTATAAAACACGAAAACTGAGAATCCAGGCCATACAAACTCTGAAGAAGATGGTAAAAGTTTCCAGTAAGCGGGTTTGAACATTTTTTGTGTGAGAACTGTGTTACGCAGTGCACTTTGGCACCTTGCTTTCATATACATTTATACATTTGAATATGCGGAAATGAAAGTACATGAAGCGTTACATGTTCACTCCTTCAAAGACATTCGTCATCTTCTTGAGCATTGAAGGAAAGTTATTAATATCCTTCTGAACGTGAATGAAAGTCGTCCACTGACTCAAAACCCAACAACAGGAGGAAATTGACTGGGAACATGAACAGACGTAATTTACTCGGTAGCTTACATAACCTTAATATCTGTCGGCGTAACTATGAGTAAGGACCACGTTGCATAATTTTGAATCCACAACATTTAATCTATATCCAAATAACTACATGCATGTACTTATTTTGTCATCGTGTCGAGTAATAACGTTGCCGTATTGTCATGTGGTAGACATTATAAAATAATTTACTTGTACTTTGTGTTGAGGGAGGACATCACTACATCAGCAATAACTTCAGCGAATGAAAAATAGCGTGCTCGACGCAATTTGCTAGACACACCTCGTGAACTCCTTCTTGATTCTTATCGGGATTACGATCTCATCAGCACTATAAAAGCATAAACTTTCACAAGACTTTCACCACAAAATTCTAACCAATTAAACCTATTTAATCCTCCTGGAATTTGGTTAATTTGGACGTTCGCTAGTGAATAAGCATGACAGGATTACCCAGACGTTAATTTTCCTACTCCAAGCGACGATAATTTTATTTTAGAAATGGTACCTGCCAAATTAAAGCTATAAGAGAAAAAGCAACGCAATTTAGACACGAATTTGCAAATCAAATGTGTTTGGCGTAAAAGTTAATAGATTTATATTTTCAAGGTGAAACAAAAATTATATAACGTGACAATTAAGTGATTTAGATTTAATGAGCAGTCCACGAACGCCCCACAAAAAAACATACAGCAAACAAAGACGACTTTCAACTTTGTGATGATCAGGTTCTGAAATATTTTGCATGGCTTACAAATCCTCAGTTGATGACAACATCAATCTGGAAATCTAATTGGAACTTATATTCGAATTACATCGTGTAATACTTTGAGTTCTGAAATACATTGCTACTTTTCGCCCATGAAGATCAGTTTAGTCATGCAAACTCTGATGCAGCAGCAAGAAAATAAGCCCGTGAAGTGAACAAGTGTTTTATTATATGAAATCTGCGCTGTGACACTTTCTACAAGCCAGCTTCATAATAATTTATGGTCAGTTTCTGGCCACAGTGGCTGAAGTGGTGGTGCTAAAGGCCCCGTAATCGCTGCTCGACGCTTTACTCGTCCCATTTGCCAAATCGTATTCTTCTGAATACATTAGTCCCCTCCTTGCACATCGTCGTCCTCAAATTCGTAAGCATGCAACCATCTGCTGTTGCTACACAAAGTTGATTTGTTAAAAATATAGCTTCAGTCACTTGAACCAATGGCACCCTTACCGCTGCAGAACCCAGATGTCACAAAAAACCGACAAGGTGGCATTTGTCATTTCCTTAACTTGCAAGAAGATAATGTGAGGTTCATTCTCCTGGCAATTTTCCTCTATGTCTACTTGGCCATGGGTGCGTTCATCTTCCAAGCATGTGAGGAAAGTGGGGAGAATAAGACGAGAAGAGATTTCCAAGATTTGTACGATGAATTTGTTCGAAACTTTACAAGGTGCTATTATCCCACCCCCTCGAAAGACACGATGGGACTCCAAGTTACCAAGGACAACAAGTACACTTTCGGAGGTGGCGTTGACATTGGTGCGAACACTACGCTTTTGACCAGCGTGGATGATGTGAAAAGTGTTGATTCTGAGGAAAGCAGCAGCAGGAGTGAGCCTTACCGTATAACGCTGGACGGCCTTCACGAGTTACTTTTTGCATACGGAAATGCTACCCAAGCAGGAATGGTGTGGAAAAGGAAGAGATGGGACTGGGTGGGAAGCTTTCACTTTGCCTGGACCATCGTTTCAACCATCGGTAAGTGAGGTTATTGTACTTGATGCATTCTCAATTTGTATGTCACTATTTTTTACGTCACAATTTGTCGGTTTAGTTTTTGTCAGATGTCAATGTGTATGCTTGATCAATTTGGGACAAATATTTTAGTGTTAGGTAAAGTTGACTAATACATGCATACGTATGTATGCAATAAACATGTATATTGATGCATATATACGATTTTTACCATGATTTTTCGACTCAATAGATGATTCTACATTTTAGAAAAGTTTTTGAATTATAGATACACATTTCAGATTTTTACTTTGACGGGATTACTATGCTATTGCTAAATGTAATTTATCATTTATCAATAGCATAGTAATATAATTTTATATTTTATATTCAATTTAATTTGCACTGAATTTATTCTTTAGTTGTGTATTTGAACTTGAATGAATATTGATAACGAAACAAATTTTTTTAAAGTATAAAAGTTTCTTTCATATTTTGTATCTTTGTACTACTTTCTTTTAAAGTAACCTGTATTTTCAAACAGGTAAAGAATAGTATTGTGTATCTTATCTGAGAATAATGTATCTGCGTTCCGTTTTGTATTTAACAGTAAACCGATCTTGCGCACCCCTGGCGAATACCTTAAAAACAGATTGTGTTTTAAGTTTTTTTGCTATTCGGCACACACACACTTTTCTGGGAACTTTCCTTTAGCTTGCTACAAATTTATGACGTTATTATTATCACTGTTTGCCTGACTGGTATGCTAAAATTTAAACATTAAATCTTTCGCTAGAGTAGTTGTAAGATGGTGTTCAGCTTTCTGTTGAGTAATTTAAGTTCTATTTTTGGTTTATTGAACTAGACAGATGTACAATCCCATTTCTGTATTCAGTTTTAAACTGAGCCGGCCGGAAGCTATGCAGAAATTGTGAAATTTGTTGTTTAGAAATTCATAGTTGGAGCACAATCTGTATAATATCGGTTTACGTACATATGTAGAATTTGGCATAATTGTTCTTTTATTACAATTTAAACGTTCTTTTGATTAAACATTCAAAATTCCATATGCCTTCTTCCAAAATGTATGAACTTAATTAATTACATTCAACATTTTAAAAAGCTTCCTTGCACCAACTGAGAAGAGTAACTGACAAACTCAAACCATGTGGTTCAATAAAAGCAAACCAAATTCATATACGCCAAAGATATAAGTGTGAAGAATGTTGAGGTTTGCGTTCCACGTTTTAGTTTTATTTTTCTCGTAGAAAAGCAATAAAAGCAGTTGAAAACCCCATAAAATTTCAATCTGTTGATGTCGATGTTGGACAATTTATTCCATCCAACCATATGTATGTACTTTGGGAATTGTAACTTGGTCACTTTATCACCTTTTAGGGTAAAATGACGTCTGTTCACAAGAATTTTGATCACTCTTAAAACCAAAATGACGGGAAATCGGAAACTAATTGGTCAAATACATATACATAACGTATAATACTAGCATTTCTTTTCTTGTTTCTCATGAGCTGGTTAGGCTGCAGGCCACAAATTCTCGGCCTGTTTTGATTAACACTGAATTAAAAAATAATTTAATACGTATTGTAGGCTTTTATTATTTCTTTCTAGTAGTCTTAAACTGAGAGAAATGTAACAACCATTGAATAGCTACATGATTTTGATAACTATTGCATTGCCTGCTTTTGCAATGACACTTTCACCCATAAAAACTAATCAGGGTTCTCGCTCAGTCTGCTGATAAATTGTGGTGAGCAGCATCTCATAAAAACAAGGCAACCTAATTCCGTGTGCATTGGCAATTTCATGCGCACGAACTTATAACATCTCACCCTTTTCAATTCAACAAAATCATTCCTAAATTAGGTGCTGCTTTCAGAGAAATTGGAAAGTATTGGTACATTTAGCAGCCTAATTATACATAAAATGGTCCGCATGACATGAGATGAAATTAGAACGAGGTAATAACAGGAATAGTTCATTTATGTCACTCATGCTCGTATGGACTACGGACATGTAGTATAATTGGTTAGCAGCCAATAGCCATCGCAATATCTGCAATGTGTGATACATATGTTGGTAGATCAGATTTTTAGTAATATTTTGACGTAATTGGGACTTCAATACTTTCATTAAACTCGCCACGGAAAACCGTGTATGCTATTGCGTCAGTCAGTGAATGAGTGTCGGTTGATTCATTTAATGTGGACGAGGAATTAGTAATTCAATTAAATTACCAGCCTTTTGCAAAATCATTTCAATTTATTTTTACTAAAGAGATCACGACAAATTAAGTCAAGTATTGGCGAAAACCAAATGTACCTATAGCTTCTGGAAATGATTCTAAATAGATGTTCTCCATCCCGGCAGAAATTGTCGAATGTAGTAATTCGAAAATTTGTAACTTCCGATTCGTTTCACGTTCCATGAGTTCACAACATCACTGTGTAGAACAAATTCTCTTTACGTAGATACTTACACTTACGTACACATATCTGTACAAGTCCCAGTTTCACAGTATAAAATAGTGCTACAAATACAGATGCATCGTTGGATAACCACCAGAAAATGAAAAATATAGGTTAACCAACACAAAGCAACATGCAAGACAAACTTTCTTTTTACCTGATATATGTACATGCATTCGTGCGTATGTACATATGCAAATATACGCAAATGATATAGTGATTCCAATACTAGAACGACATTAGAATGAACAAATGTTGTACGTGGGGATGCACATGCAAATATAGGTTTGAATGCAATGATTACTAATTTGGGAAGCTGTCAATCATATATTTCCCTGAAAACTGACTAGATAACTTGTAATTAGACTTCTAAAAATATATCCTAATTAGAACTAACTAGATGGCTTGAGATTTGTGATTATGTTTATAAACATGTGTATGCATGTATATAAACTTGGAAGAATAAACACTGATAAGAGTTTACACAATTTTCCTTCCAGTGTTTGGATGTCAGTCGTCATAACTGAATATTTCTGACTGTATCAACTTCCACTAGAGTTCAATCGAGCTTTGTAGTTTACTGGAACTTACTTTTGTCCTCGTGAGCAAAATGAGTAGATTAACAGAATTATATCGCCGTTCTATTCATGATTAGAATTTAGTGCTGGATTATATTTTCTATGTGCAAGTGCCAAGAGGTACTTATGTAGGATTAATACTGCGAGTTAACTAAAAATAAGTTATGTCAGCCAAAAGTTTAGTATTCGAGGTTTGTACGTAACTATAAAAGAACATTCCATTCTCTGATTTCTGATCGTGTTATTGCATGTGACAAGGTTTATGACGGGGCTTCTGCAAATATGGTTTTATGAAGTTGCCCAATTAAGACAGAAATAAGTCTGCAGTGAGTGACGCTCAAGAAGATTGCCCACTTATTACTCTCTTCCAACTCAAACTTTCACAATGAGATTCCATAACAGAACAGAGCAGAATGATGCAAAACGAAATAAAGTTGTTTCCAGTGGGATTTCTTTTACTTGAACATGCTCAGAATTTGAAAATGTACTGAAAATAATTAAATGGACATTTCTAACTTATGTATTACATACAGCACCGTTTTTTGAAGTCAAACCTAACTCATTTAAAAATACATTTGTTAAGAAAATTCAAAATAAGTGGCATAAAGTCGATAAGTGTGTTACTACTATTAAGTACTCGTATTGTGTTGAAATTTCAGTTTAACAAAGTCAAGTATATTTCATTGATTATTAGAATTCAGTTCATATTAAATACGTTGTTGAAAGGAGATTGGTTAGATTTTAGACTGACAACGAGAGCAAAATCTGGAGAAAATCTGAACGAAGTTGTACATTTGTTGTTTTATTATGCGAAAGTGGGCAATAGCTTCAAGTTACAATATCTCCGAGTTTTATGTTAAAACTTTTAACATAAGTAGAACTTGTAACAAATATAAAACCACACGGGCAACAGGAACAAGTGTACGTGAGGACAACGATTGGGCTGACAGATTTTGTCACAAAACGGGCATTAGTATTTGTAGACATGTGGACTTACCATCCCGAGCTGCCAAATCCTAGTACCGAAAAACTAACGAAATTGAACACCATAATGTAACGATTCGGCGCCGAAATTTATCAATGGTACCGATCAGGTACCGATCTGGTTGGGTATCAACGTTCACTAACGAGCACCGATTATACACCTACATTTCGGTGCCAAATCCGCACGGAATATTCAGTACCAATGAGTAGGCAATGAAATAGCGTTGATTTGGTGCTAACTGCGAAATTTCGGTACCTTTTCATTAACGAAGTAGCGTTGCATTTCGGTACCTTTTCGTCGGCGCCTAATCGTTACATACTGTGTAGCTCGGGATGAGTACTACGAGACACGTGTGCTAGGCTTTAATTTCTGTCCCATTCACGTGGAGATAACTTGTTGAATTTTTATGCCTTCATTTGTCGGAATTCTTATTTCACTGACAATTGTGTGCAAAGAACATTCGCCATTTCACATTAAATATGCACGTGCGTGGACTACTTATTACAAGTGCATGCATATACATGGATTCAAAAATTACAAACCTGCTAATATTCCTCTACTCCCAATGACTGCAATTTGACTATTCTAGACCTCTTTACCCTAAAAATAATCTACCCTTTCACATGTTAAACTTTTCGCCCAACTTTTAGACTCAACTGCTAAAATATCAAAATTAGACCTCACAATCTAAGGCTTGATACAAGATTTCCCCTGTGTTGTGTACCTCACATTCCCCAAAAAGCGTCCAACACTAAATATATGTTTGATTGAATGCCGACTACTAAACAATGAATGCCGAAACCTGATAAATAATGCCGAAACCTGATAAATAAATATATTCATGATTTGTGACCCACACGAAAACCATCAACCTGCTTCTTAACTACATCCCAAATGACCACAATGAAAGATTGAGATTTGCAAGGGCTAATGGCCATTTATGCAATAAACACATACGCACACATTGGCATATACGCGGTTATGTATTTATTGTTAGTTTGTATAAATTAGAAGGGCATCAAAGTTTTTAAACTTTTTAACAAATTCTTTCAAACAATATATGTATAGTTGCAACATTTGTAATATTTTGGTGCACATATTTTTCAGGCGGTGACGGGTCAGTGCTGATAAAAAACAAAGCAAATGCACCCTTAATATCGATTGCATAAAACTTTCTTCAACTTGTCGACCTCACGTAGTGTTATTGTCCTATCGTTTTGTACATAAAAAGAATAAGATGTAGGAAGGAGGATTACGAAGCTTTGCAATATTCATAGCGTATACACCGTCTAAAAAAACGATGATCACAGACAACGACATCATCTTTGCTACGAGGAGAAAATTCGAGTAGAAAGTAGAAGTTGAGCAAGTTTCTCACAACCAAATCATCCTGTCCACCATCTAATCCATATCTAATCCCAAGAACTATGGACTTACATCCAATCCAATTGAGTCAATTGCATTTTCCATCTGCAACAGAACGCTTTCACTTTCTCCTCCAATTTATTTTACTATGCTTAGCGAAAGAATTGAGTCATCTCGCACTTTGTGCCTTGCTCGTGTTTGCCTTTTCAGTCCCTCATATTTTAGCGAAAAGACAGACTAGAATGGTAAAATCAACAAGGAACACAATTTTGTGACTAATATTACATGAAAGGTTTTAATGAAAGTTTATTATTATGACACGAGTAAAAATAGATACAATTCTGTTCGAGTCAATGCTTTCACTTGCGGCGTGACCATCAAAATCCGAGTTTGGTAATAATTATTGTTCGCATATAACTAACTTTAGCCTGGAGAGGGTACGTGACTATTGCTTTTGTAAGGCTTCGTAATAATACATGCTGACACGAGAGAACAAAAGGGGAGAATGATCATCCTCACTTGAAAGGATTCACTATTTCCGACGTCACCCTTGAACTACCAAACACAAAGTGTTCCGTCAACCGTTCTGCACAGCAAACAATTACATTTCCAGGAAAGACAGGCTCACGTAAAGTGTTTGTTCAGCGAAAACACAATAACCAAGGAAGGAAACTTGATGACACGATGAGCTCATCCCAGCAGAACAGTCTCATGTCAACCAACCAATGCCATGATCAATTTCAATTTTTAACACACCTGACCACCAGTCGAGGTTAAGGAAAGGTGAAAGTTGAGCTTGAATTGACATTGGTTTAGTTACGGTCGTCCCATGCATGATCTGCTCATCCTTGTTATCTCTCTATCCATCAGCCACCCAATCATCTATCTCACTCGATACAGGTAGATTGACAGTAATCCAATACTCGAGTTCACTCGAGTTCATTCATATGGGATTTTTGGAAACATACATTTTGCTTTCTTTGAATGTCGTTGTCAAATGTATATTTTTAAGGAAAGTCACATTCTGTGAATGCTCATGCTGAAAAGCAATATTTGAGTGTGCTTTGATCCTGGTTCGAGTCTGTGCTCTTGACTTGAAGTTAACCAATCTACTATTTTTAAAATCTCACAGTTTTATCGTCATGTCGTTTTATCCAGAGATAGGAGAAATAAAACGATAGTTTTTCATCTGTATTTTATGCCACAAAAGACCGATTTTGATCAATTTGATAGCAAATGGGATGTCAAACCCACTCCCGAGTATATTTAGAAACGTTCTAATATCGGAACGATTTTAATGACTCTCGCTCGTGTGACAATCTGTTTGCACAAAAGTTGGGCCAACGTTGCAGAGTTTGGAGCAAATAAACTATAGATTTCTTGACAAATTCAAAAACTGTTTTAGATTTATAAAATTTTCATGGACATTGAAGAGCAATGCAAATATTGTTCAACTAGTTTTAGATTCCCAAAAGGGGAACGGGTATATAAATATATGTAGTAGGTCCACAAACGGTAATTTTGTTTCATGTTGACAATTCAATGTCAACCTATTCTGCTGAAATGTCACAAATAAATAATTTAAATGGGTGACAATGTAATTTATGGGACCTAAACTACATGCATGCGTAATTGAGGAAAATAAGTAAGAGTTGAATAGTAAAATGTGGTGCTCATCAAATATGTATGTAAATAGGGTAGGACTCAAAAATTACGCATTTTAATGCAATCATAAGTAACACTTGCGATTTTATCTTCGAGCAGGTTATGGAGCGACGACCCCTTCCACGCTCTTGGGAAAACTGTTAATAATTCCTTACGGATTTGTTGGGTGCGCTGGCGGATTACTCTTTTTTAACCTATTTTTGGAGAGGATTATCACATTTCTCGCCACATGTATGAGAAGTTACAGACTGAAACGACAAAAACGTCGACCTTGCATCGACAACGATAATGCCATAGATGAAAAACCAGACCCCCCGAATGCTGCTGCTGCTGCTGGACCCGCCATCGCGATAACGGTGGTAGCCGCACATCGTGGAGCCTCCCCCTCCAGATCTTCCACAGGGGAAGAATCTATCGTCGAGCAGCCAGACTGGAAACCCTCCGTGTACTGGGTGATGCTCTGCCTCTTTGCAATGTCAGTAACAGTGATTTGTGCATCAGGGACCTTATTTCAACAAATGGAAGGGTAAAAGTTACTTCAATTATTGGTTTCGTTGAAACAACGATGATAACATTTTACTACAGCACAGATAAAACTTTTTTTGTTGTTTTGGCAGATGGACCTTTGGCGAATCTGTTTATTTTAGCTTTATATCCTACTCAACAATTGGTCTTGGGGACTATGTTTCATTACAACAGCAAAGTTATGGGAGTATGGAAATGCTTTATAGAATTGTGGCGTTCGTTCTCATGATTTTTGGCTGCTGCTGTATATACAGTCTTCTCAACGTTACTTCGATAGTAATCAAACAGTTTTTGAACTACATAATCAAGCAGATGGACTACTGTGGCGAGTGCTGTTGTTGTACTTACTGTCGATGTTCTGCTGCCAAAGTGCGACGGAGAATGAGTTCCAAAAGAAGGAGACCAAACCGTAGTCTTCGCAACATTAGAAATGGGGTTGGAAATAGCAGTAATCGATGTCAAGTTTCCGTGCTAAACAAGTCCCACGCAGCACGAGCCTTCACTCTGGGTCGTCATCACCCCTACAACATTCCAGAATCGCCAGACTACGACTGTAACGAGAAAGAGGAGGGTGGGCACGGGGGACTCAATAGTAGTCGATTTGATTTGGACGAGAGGCGATGTTCGGGAGAAAACATGATCAGCATTCGTGGGGAGTTAAGTAATAAAGTGAGTTTGGCTGTGATGCAGGTAATTGAACTACATAAATACGTAAAATTTCATTCTACGCAGATTATGCATTTACTTAGAAAAGTCTGTGTACATGTTTTTTTGCAGAAAAGACTTTATGAAACGGCGCAGATGAGTAGACATTCTTCTGCATATGATTATCCAGGCTTTTCAGCAACTTCAGTAGGACCACTTGCAATTGTCACGGAGAAACTGGGAGATAATCCGGTTTAGGACTTATCCTTAGAACCCAGCCACTATGTGACCCTTGTCGTTTTTTGTCCACTCTGCACTCTCTGTTATGTTTAAATTACGGACTCATATTTTTACTACCGATAGCGAAAAAGTCTGTGGGTCTAGTAATGGAGAAACTGATGGAGAAAGTCAGCATGCTGCACAAGTTGACACGAAATGTTTGTATAACATGAGAATAAATTGATTCGATATGATTTCCTGTCAGAAAGAGCTGCAATATTTTGTTACAGAGACTGACAAAGTTTGTCCAACATGGTGCGATATCAGTACGCAAATATTGGGCACCCGCACCATACCATTAGTACTGCAGGATTTGAAGATTTTTGTAACCAGCTTCTTTTATTAAGCAAACGTCTCAAATATTCTATATTGTCCAGCATTGCATATATGTTAATTTCGTACTATACACATAATACGGTATGTGAAAGCACACTTTATTATTAACTAATGTCAAAAATATGTCAAAAATTTTCATATCCAATAATTTGTGAATATGAATAGAAATTTAAAGTTTTGCACAAAATACATGAATTAGGAAGTCTTTAGTTTAGTTCCTGAAATGCAACAGGATATACGTGAATACCTCCATCAATCATGGTGTGCAGCGGCCGCGGAACTGTGGGGACTTTAGAATTACAAGATTTGGAAAGCATAGGAACCTCAATATTTTTGTGGGGACAATGGTCACAGGGTTCCATTACCCATGATGATGTACATTTAGTTATATTTTAGACTTTAATTTTCTACCAACTTTCCGTTTCACTTTTCTTCTCAACTCAACCGTAAAACTCATCGACCAAGACGGAGCTCATTCGCTGCTGAATGTGAAGGTGACTTGTGGCGACGGCGTCAAAAACTTTAACAAGTTTAACTTAAGACGACAACTTATATACATCCGTCATCATCACTCAGAGACATTTTCATTTATGGCTGCACCATAAAAATGGTAGTTAATATCAAATGCAAATTATCTTCTCGAATTCACGTCTCAACAGGCAACAGTATATATACATAGATAGGTATGTATATGTATATATATTTAAACCTGAATATTTTTAAACGATTATTGTAAACCAACTATACGAAATAACTTACTATTGCGACCTACTAGTAAATTGTATTAGCAGATTCCATTTAAACCATATATTAATAAACGGAATAATTTATTAAAGCTTTAAAGAAAAATCGTTTGTTCGTGGAAATTCATTTTACAGACAAAAAACAAACACAACTTTATGAACGATAACAACCTTGCAGTTCCAGACACTAAATTAAACATAACATTTCATTCTAACAACATATATATTGTGCAAACAAAATTGAAAAAAAAGAAATACGCGAAGAAGTAAGGGATAAATATTACGCTAACGCGAAAATGCAGAATTCTGGCCTCCAGCTGCAGGTGAGATGTTGTTGCTGTTGTTGTTGTTGTTATTAGATTGGTTTGAATTATTATTGTTGACAGAATTTGAGTTGGTAGATGGTATCAAGAGGGAAGAATTTGGATTTTGATGTTGCATGCCTTGGATAGCACTTGGATGTGGTTGTAACTGTGGTGCTTCGACTCCTTGTTGCATTCGTCTCATCATTGGATTCAAAAATACAGGAAGTCGGGTTCTTGAAATTCCTTGTGGGATGCTTATTAGAGGCGGCGAAACAGCGTCAGGATTTCCAAGATGAGCAAATAAACCCATCTGTTGTTGCTGCATTGATCGAGATTCCGTTCGAGGCATTCCATTTTGCTCTTGATTGTGTGATTGATGTCCCTAATATTTTTGAACAGACGTGTATATGTATGAAATGAAAAGGTAAGTCACAAAAATGTATGAAATTTAAAAGATATATCACTTACAACTGAAATTGGTTGTCCGATAGTCACTGGAGTCATGACACATCCTTTAGGAAAGTTATTGTTTGGACCTCCAATAAATGGTCCTGGGTGAAGCCTTTTCCAAAAATAAAAATGTCATAATCATACCTGTGAATGGCGTATTTATTAATTACGGTGATTAAACCCAGTGTTTATTAATATTCTACTTAATTAACTATCAAGATTAAACTCTTATTAGTGTCAATACATACAACTTCCGTAATGCAATTAATTAGCAACATAATTATTAACTTCTACTTCACTAGGACTAACCCTTGATTCCGATAGTGAGCAAGACGAGCTTCATAATACTCTTGCAGCTTCAGCACTTCAATCTCAAATGAAGATTTGACTTTCTCTACTTCCACGAAAAGTCGGTCTTGATAAGTCAAGGCATATATCAGTTGTATATCCGTCTATATAGTAGAGATTTAATACTATTGCATCAGATGCATGTCGGTTGAACTAAAATCCAATACCAATACCTTATTCCCATCATTAGCAGGCTCAGCGTCTCGTCGTTTAAGCGATTCCACTTCTTCCTGTTTCAATTTCAATTCCAGTTCTACTTTTTTCAGCTTTTGTTCAGTATCCTTTAAACGTTTTTCGCTTTTTGACATGTTTTTCTTGATTTCCTCCATTTCATTCTCCATACTAGTTTTGCGCCCCTAAAAATTATACAAATAATATAAACCAATTAATCAAATCATAATCAGTTGTGATCAGTTTTAATTTATTAGGATGCATAAGGATTTACCCTAAGAACTTTAATCTTAGCATCTTTCTCCTCTCCTAATTTTACTTGTCGCTTCAGATCATTGATAACATGATCTTTCATATTTAATTGTTGCTCAAGTGATGCCATCTCAGTCTTTATGCGTATGGTTTGAGTCTTCCAGTAACTATCTAATGGATCTACAGACATTCCAGGCGAGGTCTTGTAGTGAACTTTATTTTGGCTATCTTGAGCAGTGGCAGGACTTAGACTTCGAATAGTTACTTTCCTGAATGGGAGAACTCCTCTTCGTTGTCTCTTTTCTAATGCTGCTGATGCGGAAGCAGGTCGTTGCACAACAATTTCCGATGATGGTTGACCGCCAAGACCTGTATTTTCTGACTCAAGTATAAATAATCCACCACTGCATGCTGAAGAAGGCGATTGCACATTGCTGATATTGATATTATTCTCGTTCTCTTTTTTAGGCCCTAGCTCGAATGCAGTATCCAATAATCCTGCACTGATAGTGACATTTTCGTGAGAGTTCAACGCTTCTCCAAGGTTCCGGTCTTCTGACAGACGCAGATTTGTCGGTGAATTAGTGCGACTGTTTTCGATAGTATTACAACCACCCTGGGAATGATCATCTGGGATGTTTGTCCCAGCAACCGAGGAAGCAACAGATGCAATTGTATCTTGTGACAATGACTCTGCAGATATTGGTCTCAACTCAACTACTTTGTCGTCTACTTCTGGGCACAAGTCACCATCTCTAATCGATGTGGCAGTGGAAGTTTTGGTATCCTTACCATCTTCGTTGTTTTTTGGTGACAATGATGATTTCTTGCTCTTGTTACCACTAGCATCGGAACTTTTACGCACCTCCTTATGTTCTGATTTTTGACTTGAAATGGACGAACTCTCGTCTGTGTCCAAAATCTCTCCCGGTTCTCTTCGGAAATTGTTGTTACGAACATTTTTCTGTCGGACAATAGTACATCGTAAATCTTCATCTTCGTCGCCCTCCGCATCGCTCGGGCTGCTCAGTAAATGAACGTCTCCTCCAGAATCATTTCCTTCATCACCTCGGTTCCTTTTTGAACGCTTGGATTTTTTATGTCGCCTGTGATTGGCTCGATGAACCGCGACTTCTGTCTCCAGTTGTTCTTCGGCTTCAGACCGACGCTTTTTCTTGCGTAGACTTGATGGATTGTAGCCTGTTATTGCAGGAGTACTACGTACAGCTAGTACTCGTTGGCGACCATTTCCAAAATCGAAAGTTTCATCCTCGCTTCTTCTATTGATCAATGAAGGAACAGTTACAGATATGTCGGTAAATATGTCCTCACAATGATCGTCCAATCGAATATCAGAAGAATTCGCGTTATTATTATTGTTGTTGTGAATCCGGTTATCAAGATGATATCGATTGTTGCTAGCATCATTGTCCCCACTCCCACCGCTCGCCCAACCAACTATAATTCAAAATACAATACAATTATACTTTTAATTTTAGTTTTTCGCCTCAAGAAAATAATAATTCGAAAAAATTTACCCCTGCGCCTAACTCCATGCAGGTTTTGCAAGTCTGGAGTATTGTGTTGATTAATAAATTCTGCGTTTACGTAGCAAATCCGGGATTGTTGGTGTTTCCGCATCCCACGGCCTCGACCTGACCAACCACCACTAGATCGTCCCCCTCCTTGGAAATTCTGATTAGTTTGATTATTATGATGATTATTATTGTCCCTGAATCCGACAAAGTCCTGCTCATAGTATTCGGTATAACCGCCGCCGCCGCCGTACTGTCGCTTTTGACCTCTCGACATTATTAATTAATCGTCGCGCTAATCCTTCTCTATAGCAAATTTCGTAGCAATTTCGAGGAAATAGAAAATATGAAAACTACAGTTTGGAATTTGACCAATCTACTAAATATTGTGAAACACAACACAACCTAACCTCAGTATGCAGTGTAGTGTAAAGCGTACAATAACAAACTGTAGAAATAATTTATTTACATAATTTGTGAGAGAAGAGGAGGTGCAGTTGTGCTCGACTCGGGTGAAACGTCAGTGTGAATCAAATTTCGTTCCTCACACAGATTATCACCCTCCACCAATCTGGAGAACTTTGAGACACTTTGAGAACTGAGATTGCTTCGACTTGAGAACTGTGAGACAGTTACAAAAAATAGTTACCATCAATTATTGCTTTTGTTTCTACATGTTATGTTTGTAGTTTATAAAGGACAGTTAGTATGTAAACCATCTTGAATAATTTTAAGGTGGTGTAAGTACAAGATATCCCTTCAAACAAGGTTTATAACTATGTCAATTACAAAGACATATGTACATATTTAGTATTGGAACAAATTAAAGCTGAACATTTATTTGTTTTCATTCCCTGTCAGGTTTAAAGTATTTTCAGATCCTTACATATATCAAAATACCCTGTTTTCTAGATCAATAAGGCCCTGTGGCAGTTGTATCCTCAAACAAATCAAATCATGACTTTCTCTTTCAAAGCCACAAATGCCATCACTTCAAACGAAACTAATATTTATGAAAATGTGTTTCAGATTGTTTGAAATAAATCACAGAGCGGAATTAGGATTTACTTTGATGAGAAATAGAAACAACAACAAGAGCTGTCCAGTTTTCTACATATATTTAAAAAATATTTCGCAAAAAATTGTGCAACAAGCATGCATGTATAATGAGCTTTGTGTTGGGAAGCAGGGCGCCGTATGAGATTGCATGGACGCAGCACGAGACTGGCATATTCGTTCCAATTGCTTATTCATGAGCACGGAAGGGAAAGCGAGGAGGAGCACTTTCTCCACATTGCATTACCACGTTATCTACTGGGTTGGAGAGGAGAGGAAATTTCTCCTATACGGCATTGGCCTCATAATAATAATTCTTTTCATTTTTTAGGCGAAAGAAAAAGCATATTTGGAATAAAAAGCAGCAGAATTGGAAAAGAGTAGCTAAAGTATCCAAATATAATAGTCTCTTGTTGGCAGTAATCGTATACACGCAGGTCTGTATTTTCCATAATTCTGGATGAAAGAGGAACCATTCCAACGTTTGACCAAGAAAATGAAATCATGGTCTTGAAAGTTATTTGCGAGGCAGTAAAAGTACTACAAAAGATGAAGAAAGAGCCAAAAAATACTCGCATATTTATTCATCCACTTACATACAAACTGTTGGTAACCTCAGCCAAATGCTGGAAAAATAACAAAAACGAGCCAAAACGTACACCAGGCAAAGTTTGGTGAATTAATTCCAAGCAGAATTGTTGCATATGAAGTGAAATCCTCACGTCTAGTTTTCTTTCAACTCCGTTCACTTCTAAAACAGCCGAAATAACTTGTTCATGGTTGACAAATTCTAATTGTTTTCTTTACTTTTGAGGACATAAAGACAACTTGATTAAGATGGGATGGCAATTATGCTGATTACATACTCGGTTTGTTTGGAGCGTCTTTAAAATTCCTAGAAATAGCAGCAGATTTGTCTGCATTCCCGTTGGCTGGTGCTTTTGAACTTCCTGAGAAACAGCAGCAAGGGATCATCCTACATAAACATATAGGTTCGAGTTTGAGTTTCAGATGAGAATGGAGCTAATGACGAGGACGCCCGGTGGGGACAAATGGTGCTACTTACTAGAGATCACCAAAAGCAGTCCGCAGTACAATTAATTCATATATGCAAAGAATGGTTTGGTACAATATGTATGTACATATGTGCAAAGAAGGACCAGATTTAAGAAATTCGCCCTCGGGACCATCTCTGGAGATGATTATCCAGAACCAAATTCCATATTTTGGAATTTTAGATTCAGTTTATATACATATTTATGTTTGATATGGACAAAAATTGCTTCAGGCTTGCACACTCCTCCATCTCCATCCAACTAGAGCAGTAGTGGTGTGCAAGAAAGAAGTAATAGGTTTGCTTCTTCCTGCCTTCCAGACTTCCTGTTTCATGTTTAGAATTGTTCAGTCGGATCCCAAAGTGTGCTTCTGTTTGTGCTGATGTATAATTCAAAGCAGCAACGTTTGAATTCCTAAATTGCAAAGTGCTGTTTTTAACGTCATGTAGGATGCAACAGATATATACAGACAGACGTATATAGTAGATACAGATGTATGTGTACGAGCAGATCATTCCATAATTTTTCATTAGCTTCATCAGAATTCTGGCTAAAAAGTATTTATGGGAAAATGGGGATAGATTGTCTTTTTGCCATTGAATTCAGAAATGAACTTTCACGCAGCGAATTTTACACATACATGCTGCTCTTCTGCTTACTATTTATTTATCTAACTACCAACCACAGCCTCCAATAACTTTTCAAATTCGCTATGCATCAATATTTTAGTGCTTAATGGATGCCGGATGAGCGTATGTGTAGTAAAATAATGTATCACATTGAAATAAGAGGCTATAAAAGCGCATAAAAGTAAATGGTAAGTGGTGTTGAAAGCTAATGTGATCTTTTCCATCACACTCCGGGGAAACTTGATAAATGGGGAAAGCAGACTGTAGTAGATCACAATCTCGTGCTTTCTACTTTCTTTGCCCACACTAACAATATTTGCGTGTAGTGCAACAACTGATAACATCAAACCATTATCCTATTTTTTCATCGCTACTTTCTAATACTCAGGGGAGAAAGTTGAGTCATTTGTTTTACGTTGATTTTCGCTAAATCCAAAATATTTTTGTTTGGGTAAATTGCCACCATTTTAAACTATTAACAACAAACATGTTTACAACATAACCCAAACTGCCATCCGACTTTACAGGAGGGAGGAAGGTTGAAATATGTATTAACATGGATACGTGGAGCCAACCTTGTGCGAATTCCGACAGCAAGCATGAACTACTAACCAAATATCTGTAGGTATGAAAACATGCTGACAAGATAAACTCGCTCGGCAGTTCCATTTCCAAAAAGTCTCTAGCTACAAGCATACATGCAGCAAGTGGATGAAGGACCAGGAGGTGACAAAACTCGCTATACGTATTTCGAAGAATAAACTAATTTCAACTATCAACCGCACCTAGAAGAGAAGCCATATGCAATTTGTAAAAGCTTGCATTTACATACTTACAATAATTTTTGATGGATTTCTAAAAATCAAATTTAAAAAAGTTGAAGCATTCAATAAAAAGTACAGGCAGACCGACAGTGTGATGTTACAAAACTAATGTCTTTACAAACAGGAAAAGCTGAACACATTATTACCAATGTTACATTTTATTACTTTTGGGACCAAATTGTCCATAGCTTTTTAGTACATGTTTCATATTTGTAAACCTAATTACACGTGCACAGCTTTCACTCTAGATGTTACCATTTATTTTCTGTACTGCAACATCACTGGTGTAAAAATATTATAAACATATTTCATACAGAAAGTTTTAAAATTCCTCACTGTTGAGTGAGGAGTCGATAAGTGATATAATTATTAAAGTAAAAATGTACATTAGAAATATTGTAATGGCGAGTTACTCGTATTTGATGAGTTTGCCACATATTACTTGATACGAAACAGCATTTTTCTTTGCAAGCGATGTTGCATTTCTCCACGGCGGATCATGGTGAACAGGACTTTAAAAATCGCTCTTTCCGGGTATTTCTGTAATAAAATATTGACATGTTAGAGGTTTGCGTTTCAATTTTCATTCTCCTCCTAAATAGAACCCCAAGCGAGCGAAGAGCCAGCGAGCGTCAGAATTGGGATTTTCTTTTCACACATGTCATCAAACCCAACTTTGCCAAAATAATACCCAGCAGTATATGGATCCTAGGGATCAACCCGCAAGAGTCAGTATAGAAGACAGACAGACATCTGAATAAATAAACCACAACAGCGGACAACAATGTTAGAGAACACATGACCAAAATGAAATTTTCTGATACATCTCAGCTTTGTTTGAGCTTACTTTGTTCTCCATAAAGAAAGAAGCCAGATACGAGATGCAAGCACAAACATACACGTGTACCGATATATTACATATACTAGTAGATGAATCTACTTTAATTAAAATCATTTAATACTACTACTGACTCTGGGTATATAAAATGAAATGGTTCTGTCATGTCATGTTCTCTAACAAATTCACTTAATTCCAGGTTTGAAGACTGTGTTTATACAGACATATTATTATTTATATGTTTAGTATTTTCAGGGTGACCGCTAACCTGGCGAATAAAGTCCTGAACTATAGTATGCTCTGATACTTGGGATCCAATAGCAAAACGACGCTTCAGCTGGGTTTCAATACGATTCAGCAATTCTTGGTCTTCTTGAGTTGTAAATCCTTCCACTCCAGCTAGATTTCCAGAACTAGCAGCGTCTAAAGTTGACACCTGGAAAAGTCTGAGCGCTTCATCAATATGAGAATCAGTAGCAAACGGCTTCAACTCCATTTTTGCCAAAGATTCAGCTATACGAATAACAGCCTCAAGTTGTCTGAAAGGTTATTTAATTCAACAAGCACAGTTAACTATTAATTTGTGCAAAAAACAACGGCATTTAGAAATATGATATGAATTATTATGGAACTTACCGGACCGTAATTGGAATGGGATTTTTCTTATCTGCCTCCATCTCTGCTTCGCGATTTCCACTTCGCATGAGAACATAACGATTCTTCAATTTCTCTGCCGCTTCTACTGTCAAACGTGGACCACAACGGCTTCTACAGTACGCAATATACTTTTTCAAAAACGTCAAGGATAATTCTCCTTCTGCAATTTGCTGTTCATTCGCCTTCTGGGCATTCATGTGAATTCTCATGACATGCTTTGCCATCATCTGCAAGAAAGAGTTTTAAAATGTTATAAAACTTATACGACCTAAGGGGAGATGATTCCCATTTCTGCAACAACGACGAATTTTATATTACACCACCAATCAAGAAACAAATGTAGAATGCCACAAACAAGCACGGAAATGAAATGTTTCTTACAAATAATATTTCAAGGACCTCAATAACAAGAAAGGAATAAAACACATTGTGACATTCTGTATTGTTCAAAAAGGAGTGCAAATTAAGTCAGATGGCCCCTGGGCACAGGGTTGCTATCAAAGGAAGCCAAATACAACTTATGTTTTTGGTTGTTCTTCCTCCATTATTTTGCGTGCCTCTCATCATTCCGTTTATCGTAGGTTGTTATTTTTATAGTACAAAAATTGAAAAAATCGGAGCAAGATTGAGCTATCTTTCCTGTTAATTTTTTTGTACTAATGTAATGAAAATGTAACATTACACAATGTGTAGTACACATCACATCACATTAACCCCAAACAGCTCAAGCTTACTATCGAAATTGGACAAGTATGAAATCGGCATGTCATTACCATATCTCTCGATTCATTGTGTTCGTCTTTAACAATGAAAATCATATCAAATCTCGAAAGAATTGTTGGCATGAAGTCAATATTTTCATCTCCTTTTGTATCGTCCCATCGTCCAAAGATTGAGTTGGCAGCTACGGAAATAACATAGCAAATGTAAGTACTTAACACAGCTAAACCTAAGCTGGACTTGGTGAATATAGAAAATGCTTCAATTCTTCATTAAAAATATGACATTTGATTTACAGTACACCTACCTGCCAGAACGGCACAGCGTGAATTTAATGTTGTCGTTATTCCAGCCTACACACATATTTGTAAAGTAGAAATATATTTAATGAATTTAATGTCTATGTAGTTCACCACCATCAATCTTAGAGTGAGATAAACATACCTTTGCAATGGAAATTGTCTGCTGTTCCATGGCTTCGTGGATAGCAACACGGTCATCTTCTCTCATTTTATCAAACTCATCAATGCAAACGCAGCCTCCATCAGCGAGGACCATAGCACCTCCCTCCATTACAAAGTTCCTCTAAAAAATAATAGAAATCAGATTATGAAAATACACTATTATAATGATCTTAATAAAAATATATATTGAAAAAAACGGAGAAACCCTCGTATCAATTCTTCTTACAGTAGTGGGGTCCCTGTTAACAGAAGCTGTTAAACCAGCCGCCGAAGAGCCTTTCCCAGAAGTATATATTCCAATTGGAGAACATTTTTCCACAAACTTTAACAGTTGAGATTTAGCTGTTCCAGGATCTCCCAATAACAAAACGTTAATATCGCCACGACGTGTCAAACCATCCGGGAGTCGCTTACGAGAACCTAATTTGAAGAATGTATTCAAAACAACCTGTTAATTGCTTCAATCAAAAGAGAATATCATCTTTCGTTATACTTAGTTATACATATGTACATATTTACCCGCAAACAGGAGGCATGCAATCGCTTTCTTAATATCATCAGATCCAAAAATGCTAGGAGCAATTGACTTTGAAATCAAGTCGTAGCAATTCGGTTTTTTTGCCAATGTTTGAAACTCTTCTTCTTCCTCTGCTGTAAATTTCACTTTTCCCGTTCTGCCTGACCCCTCTGTGTCTAATTCAATTCCAAACACACGGAAATATGGTTGTCGAACCCCAATGGCCACTTTAGTTTGAGCTGATTTCTGTAATGGAAAATATATAACCATATGGAATTTTTATACGGTGTTTTTACGAGCCATTCATGTATAGTATAGTAATTAGTTACTTCAAATTCAGAAATTCCAAAGTTTTTACCTTTGTAGGTGCTGTAACCTTTTTAATAGAGTAAATCCCAAGAATGCAGACTCGATTTCCGGGAACAACTTTATCGCACAAATAGCGATCACAGTAAAGTTGCATGTGTCTGGGCATTTCTCCTGGAGGAACACTTTCTGGCGACTCTTGCAGCTTCAAAACTTGGAAGTCCACACATCTGCATCTGTCTGGCATGATAAAGTACGGATCTAAAGGACACTTGACGGCACCGGCTTGGACTCCTCTACAATTTTAAATTCCAAATTAAATACTCGACAACCATGTCATTAAGTTTAAAAACATCAGTATATTGAATTAAGGGACTCACTGATTCGTTGAGCACTGCCTTGGTAATGCATACCCCTCGAGACCAGGGGGGACAGTTACATTAGGAATAACCGATCGGCAGCTTCTACACATTAGAGATATTTGGGCAGCTTTAGAACGAATGGCGGACGAGGTCAAAACAATTCCCGAGATTTTCACGAGATGAGACACTTTCTCCGACTACAAGAACAACATGGATTTTGTTATTATTTTATGTACTAGAGATACCCATCCCACCCAATACCACTATAGACGCATAATCCCCCCTATAAACTTACCCTAAGCTCTCGAATCGCAACAGGGTCAGACTTCGAGGCTAGCATCACTTGAATGTCTTCAATCTCGTGGGCATCGGGAGGTCGAGGAGAAGTAATTTCGTCAGTCACTTCCCTTGCGGCCTCCTCAAACTATTAAGAAAAGTCAGCTTCAATAATTTAGTTCCTTGTTTTGTTTTACGAACTAATAAATCTACGACGCCTGTCCATTAAACTTACAATAAGAATAAACTCTCCAGGTCTACGCATTATCTGGTCAGCCAAATCCTCGTTAAAGTTCATCACATCTTCAATTTGAATTTCAATCCATAACTGACGGGTGTTATAATTATGACGAAGAAGATCCCTAGTAAAAGTCAAGTAAACTATCCCTTAAATTGCGTTATTTTTATAAATTGGCAACAAATCGCCAGATTCAACCAAAGTATTAACAATACCTGTATTTGTAGTAGGACGTATTGTCCCGAAATTGTCGCAGAAACTCTTTAAAATGTTTCTTATAATTTTGATGGTCAATAATTCCTCCGGTCGCCTCGTCTAAAATTTGTTCGCCACTGTCTCGAGGTCCCGACACATACACGCTGGCTTGGTCGAATGATGCCATTTCAAAACGGAATTGTAAATAGAATTTTCTAACAAAAATTGAATTATGAAATGCAAAATAAGAACCGGTGTGTGGAACGAAAATAAATGAAACTGAAGAAAGAGAAGAAGCTTTATTGGAGAGGTCTTTGTTGTTGAGGAAGCGGGCCCGTCTTCGCGCCTCCTGGACGGGAAAAACAAGATTCCGGGGAGAAAGTGCTTTCCCATTGAACTAGGGGGCGAGTTTGACACGTAAAAATCGCGTTGGTTGGTTGATGTTGCCATTTATTTTGCAAAACTTTCACTTCATGGGGGACTCGAAATCGAGTAAAAATAATGAGAGAAAATCATAGTTTTTCTCAAATATGTGCACTAAACACTTTAGGTCTTTATCTTTTTCATCAATCATCTATCTACATGTTCTCATTTTTTACGACGCAATATAGATCTACAAAAATTATTAGGTCAAGGCTTATCCGCTTATCCAAGCATATAATGTGGTTTCTTGTCTGGGACACACATTTAAAGCACAAATAGTCAGGTCCACAAGTACATGTAACGCAGTCACGCTGATATCAAATTACTAGAAACTAGGATTTGAAAACTTGGTTTTCAGATCGTGCTCTACGTCGATCCTCCTCCTCATCATTGTCAGGTTGGATTCATTTGCTCGAAGAATGCTTGGACTGAGTCGGGGTCGCGAGAAGGTTGAATTATTCAGCTTTCCCCGCAGGGTATCTAAAATCATGCAAAGAAAATGGTAAATGCAAATGAAAAAAAGTTGCGATATGAATTGAGACCTTCATTAGTTTTTGGTAGGTGAGTTGGGATTGGGGGACTTGTGGGTCGCTGTCGTTGGAACTCCTCAATGTACTTGACGTAAGAATAGTCCTGCTCATCTTTAGATTGAGACGACTTTTCATGATCATCTCCGCCTACCCCCAATTTGTCCCATGACTCTCGAGGTCGACTTTCACTTCTGCTCCGGTGTCGAATTTTTCTAGCCAATGACACCTCTGGATTTTCAGGGCGTATTTGTGTTGTAAACGATTCTCGCAAAGTTGTCTTTGGTTTCGTAATAGGCTTGTGTTGGAAATCTGCTTCTGCGATAAAATATTTGCTCACGGCTTTCTTGTTGTTGTGCAGCTAAATAAATATTGGGAGAACTTAAATGTAGCTATTTATTGATGTATATATATATATATTTGTATTGTCGATAATATTTGGTAGTGCAATATGTAATATATTTTATACACGTACGCGAGCCCATTCATCTTTTTGCGCCTCTGCATTTTGTTCTCTTTTTTTCTGAATTTCGTAATATTCTTGAATTTTTCTTTCCAGTTTTTCTTCCTCTTCTCTGTCCTGAGCTGCCTGCAAGGCTTTTTGTCTCTGATTTATCTTAATTTGCTCAGCTAACTCTGCCCGATTGATCATATCTTTGAGTGGCTTCAAGTCTACAGCAGTATCTGAAGTCTGTGCGAAATCAGAAATAATCCAAAGACTGTAATTATTTTTAGATTATTGACCACAGTTCCTTTGCACATACCTTCCAGTTATTCGGCCTGCCGAAAACAAGTTCTCTTAATTCGTCGAAATCTACATTTTGATCGGCCAACTTCTCCTCTACAAAGTTCCTCAACGTGTCACCATCCAACTTTGTGGGCATTAATCGGTTTGATTTCACATTTCCGTCATGATAAGACCCCAAGGCGGAAGAGTTACTGTTGTTGTTATTATCATCTTCTTCAACATGCATTTGTCTTTGGATTTCAGCAACTTTTTGTTCAATGTGCTCATCCTCGAGATTTCTCGACTCGGCTGCTCTTGAAGAACCAGGGTTATTGACTAAAACAACATGTACAATCTTAATAAAGCATCATCAAATTCACACTCTACACCGTAGATACGTTTCAAGAGAGAGATCAGAGCAATGCATACGATTATAAAAATTAGGATTAGGATGCGGAGTTTGCTGTCGTGGAGTAGCAAATGGATATCGATTGCTGTGTGGGTCCATCATCATCCCTCTTGGTGGCCTATTTTGATACCCTGCTGATGACGGTGGTTGGGGGCGAGGAGGATAATACCCTAGCGATGGGTGAGGATAAGGTGAGGGGTAAGGTCCAGGAAAAGCAGGATACTGTTGGTAACCAGGGGGCATAAATTGAGGCTGATGAAGAGGAAACTGATTATTTTGCATTTGGGGTGGATAAAATTGGGGCCCAGGTTGCTGCTGAACTTCTTGATATGGAACATGACCCATTGTCATGTTATATCCATAGTTGTTCACGGGTGGGGGACGCATGATACCGCCGGTAGACTTGTTCCAGAATCCTGCAGCAACCGATGGAGACTAGTGTTTCTCACGGGTTAACCCGAACCATTACTATTAACATTCGGGTTTCGGGTTCAGGTTTCGGGTCCCATGTTAATAGTAATGGTTCGGGTTAACCCGTGAGAAACACTAATGGAGACGAACGTGCCCGGAAGTTGTTGCCACTTGGGCTTGATAAGTGATGTTGTGACGGGCCTGTGAAGTTTGCATACTCGTTTCCACCATCGTCTCCACCAGCAAAAGCTACAGCATTACTTGCATTCTTGGAAGCGTGGCGGTATGTGTCTGGACTTATCCGAGAATTTTTCAAGTTTGTACGAGCTTGTGCGACTCGACTACATGGCACCTTGTAATCCGTCATTTTTGTTGAGGAATTCTGTGCCAAGATTCGCTTCTGAATGGGAATATCTTCTGGACCTGAAGACAGAAAGTGATATACATAAAATCAGGTACAATAAATGCATACATGCAATTTACTTAAATAAGCTGGGATAGATTCATTTACAGTTTTTACTCAATTAGAATATCGAACATGTGAATTCAAATACTCAATAGTTCATAAAACAATGCGTATGATTATTTAGTTCATAATAACTCTCACAGTTAGGTCTTGCTCTCTTGGAGGTCTGCCAAAAGCTGGGCTTTGGCTGTTCATAATTTGGTCCAAAAGGATGCGTATTTAATTTGCGTTCTTCTTCAACCATTCTCCTACTTTTTTGCTCAACTTGTCTTTCCAACGAAGCTCGGTATGCTTCCTGCTGCAATTTCTTGCTTCCGTTCCCCTCTTGTCTCTCTGAAGGAAACATTCAAATAACTCTTGAAATATTAGCAATCACGCAATGTTAATGCGAACAGAAGAACAGTTTTTTGCGCACTTGTCCCGCTCACGGATACACCCACTTTGAGATTATATTTTTCATTTTTTCTAGAAAAATACCTTTTTCTAGTTCAGCCATGGTCATTCCGCCTCCACTTCTACTACCCACCGAATTCCACGACGCTGTTGGTCTTGTGTATGAACTGAGTCTGTCTTGGAATTGATTATTGGTATCGGCAAGGTTGGAGCAAAGGTTGTCTTTGGCCTTTTGAGCTTCCAATATCAAAGCTGACACTCGAGAATTTTCACTGTTCACTCGAGAATTTTCATCATTGAACCCACCACGACGACTTTGGCCCCCAGGAGAGGTGTTATTATTAGTGTTGAGAGAGGGTGTAGAAATGGTTCCCGACACGGATGATCCGTACATTTCAGGCTGACGAATTGATGAGTTTCTGTCACTCCGAGTTCCTCTCCATACCAAATGGGAAAGGCCTCTGCTTCTGACACGCATAATAAAATTGGAATAAAAACCTAAAGGATCATTGTTGGGGGAACATCACATCAATTTAGGTCCGTAAGAAATACGGTATGGATATCTGTAGTTAACGAGCAATTTGATAATATGGACTTTATCTACAGATACATAATATTCTAATGTTCATGACTCCCTGAAACATCAAGACAGGATAAAAACTTCAAAGATTTGCAAATGTGAATAGTTTTTTTATGAATATTATGATGCATCTTTGACATTGTTTGCAGAACTCTTATCCCCAAACGCAGGTCTGGAACCTAAAACCATCAGTAAAGCTATCCAGACTTTCCTTCTGTTGAAACACCTTTCGCTTCAGACCGAAACTTTCTGGCATTAGTTCAATATGCCAAACCATGTTCCGCACTTGACTTTGAAGACTTCTCCTGCTGAACACCACACCCGCTGATTCAAATGTTTCACCCACACTCAGCCCCACATAAGTATGCAATGTTATTATGCACGTAGACTGAATGCTACGTATGCATGTACAATGGCGTTATCATGCATGCAACATGTTCATTAAAACCAGAAGCAGCGGAATAAGTTGACCTGGTGCTAAAGTTGATACTATTGGAAATGCTAGTGGTCCTGGCGATGAAAGGAACGAGTCAAGCAAAAATGAATGATGATCCTACAAATTGATGATGGAAATTTTACGCTTCTACATGCATGACATCCATCCGCATCTCTAAACTTTCCGGAAAGGAAGGATACCTTGCTTGTTTTAGTTTCACACTTTAGTAGACACACATAATATTTAATATCACAATGCCCACGTTACTCTGTCTGTATATGTGCCTGCTATGCCAGTTTCTCCATGATTTTAGTAGTATGATCACGTTTATCTATTTTAAATTGCCTTCTCGCCCTCAAATGCATTTTTGATAATTCATTCATAAAGCATGAGTTCTGTGCTCAATTTGTGGCTCGACGAGTTTCTTCTGCGGACGGGAATCTCTATTGTGCTCTTGCATGCTGACTATATACTTACCTTATCTATCCACTTATACCTACCTACTATGTATCTACCACCAATAAGTGCCAACACCACGCGATCAAAAACTGTTTAGCTTGATTCATGACAAGGAAACATCGATCATGGACAATTCGTTAGTCGTGGTGGCAGTGTTCTTTCAGTTGTGCGTCTTGACAAAAGTCATCACGCAGTATGTACAATGCTTGATGGAGAGGAACACGGTATTTTTGTGTGATTCCCATTACCTGTCAGGCAAAATTCCACCTGGAAGAATTCCACTCCCAGTCCGGGCCATTGAATTAGAATCCGCCAATTCGTCCTTCATTCTTTCCCGATCTCTGCCGTAGCGCTGTCCCAGCCGACTATTGATGGTAGGAATGGAGTACGAGGAGTCAATACCATAATTTCTTGGGAGAGCTCTTGATAGGTTGGGCACATTGGGGTGATGACCCCCCTGGGAAGAAGAGTTACCATTACCCGTCCACAAATTGAGCTGTGGGGATTCAGCTCTGAACGATGCAGAGGTGCTGTTTCTCTTGGATTGTCCTCCTCCTCCGAAGTATTGATCCCCATTACCTGTCCATGCAGCCTCCTGTTTTCAACCAGTGCAAAGAAACTTTTTTTATTGCTACTCCCAAAAACAAAAACCATGCAAATAAATATACTTTTGCATCTTTAGTATCGCGTAGTGTAGTAGTTTACAATATTTTCCTTTACTTGGCGTTGTTAGTGTGCATAATGCGAAATAAGTTGGTAACCCACATCTTAGAAATGGATTTGCTTCTTAGGAAATATGAGGATTGATTTATCAACCATTTTGCTTTTACTACGTGTACCAAATGTACGTACATAGTTTGCGTCAGGAAAGCGTTGTCATTTCCTGTGCAATAACTTCATTTCACACGATTCTAATTTCCGGTGGCTTCTCAACCTCACAACAATTTTCCTGTTTCCTGTTGATATTTGTAATTATTTATAAAGAAAGCAGTCACTTTTTAACATGGAAAGCATGTTAATTTACAGCCATGATAAGGTGCATATGTATAATTACGACTATTAACCAGTGTTTCTCGATTTACAGTTTTATACCTAAGGTCAGTGGCTTAGAAAGATGTACAAAGAAAACTAATTCTGTGCCGTGATAAATGTTCTGCAAACCTTTCACTTTTTACAATCCTACGCAAGTAAATCGCCATTCTCTTGAATATTCTGAGATAGAAAGAAAATTCCTGATTACCTGGTTTGCCGTTGTCAGCGTAGTTCCTCGTCTTGACAGATCTGAATCTTTATCACTCGCATATCCTGATCGGCTCAAGTGTCTGCAATCCCCATCACCATTCCTTGATAAGGAAGAATGCCCTCGAGTTGCATAAGATTGGATTTTGGTTCCAGATACTTCATGCAACCCAGAATTGCTAATACTCGTGTCTTTCATGTAATAATCGCCATCTCCGCCCATCCTCATTATTTCAGAGGTGAGGCGAGAATAGGTGTCCTTGTTCTGCAAAGTGTCCTTATTACAATTGAGACTCGAGGGGTTTAGAAAATCCGCTTTAAGGATACATTTGAACCACTAATGACGTTTTATATCCGCTACACAAAATAGTTGTGCACTTTTCCAAGAATCGTCCACTCAAATGAGAAAGTGTTAAGGTTTGAGGCTGTTGGGGTCCAATTGCAACGTCAGTTTAACGAAACCTTAAACAATGATTAGATTTCCTTGAAGGCGAAGTGTCATAAAATCGTCTGAAAGAAAAGTTAAAGCAATGTACACACATGTAGCATAACTAAATTAAACAAGCCTCGTGAGTCATTGATGTTACCTTTGTTTAGGCTTTGTGAATATGCGATCAGAAATATGCGACAAAATTGTGAATACAAAAATCCGTAGACCAAATACGAAAATTCACACGTGAGAATTCAGAAGGTTGAACAAAAATAAAATTAGTTGCATACAAAAATAATTATTCCTTTCAAAAATTTTACTACTATAATGTAAATATTATTGACGGAATTTTGGTTGAGGCTTCCCATAAAAAATAATGGCATTGAAATTGTTTCCAGGTCGACTAAAATGATTTACTTTTCCTCACCAGAGCCTGTTGAGGTGTTATAAGTAGTATTGCATACATGTGTAATACTACAAGAGGGGAGGGGTAAGTGTGAAGGGGTATGTGCATAAAATTGGCTATGAAAACAGAATAAAAATTTGGTTTTCAAAGCTACGACGCAAAAACCTCTGGTAGAAAATTTTTCACGTTTCTCATATCCTTTCATTCCAATGATTTGCAGGGAAGTGAATTTGGGTATAATTTGTTTATTTGACGGTTTCGCACAAAAAATTCTAAACCAGATGCCCACAATTGTCCTTGAACCACCACGCCATCCTATTTCCCTAAAGTATAGAAATTGTATGTATGTAATGTAGGTGTCATGTTACCATTGCACAAGACAAGAATTAGATCAGCAGATGTACATCACCGTTTGACAGCGATCTTCTGAGCTAATAGACTTGATTGAAGTCTCTCCTCCTACAATTACTCTGTAGAATTGGGACAGAGTGATGGCGAAGGAAGAATGGATGTTGTGGGATTGAGTAGGCAGAAAAAGTCATACGAGAACATGTAAGCTCTGACTTGCTGTTAATGGTATTTCACAATGTTTAGAGTTTCGTCATGTTATATAAATACAAATTTTTTTGATTATGTAAAAACCTACTCATCGTTTTGCTCCAAACTGGTCATAACTAGTTTCAGGCACTTTCTCTGGAAATATTTGGCTTTCATATTTGCCTTTAAATATTTCATTGTTTGGTCAATAACGGAACAGGACCAACAATAAATATAGGACTTCTTACTTGTCATAATAACAAGTCTCCTTATTTTTGTAGTTGTTCAATACTTAAAAATTCTACATTTTGAACTGTTAATAATGTTCATAATTAACGAGCACAAAAGACTACACACTATTACTGTTGTTTACATAGAGTGGTACAAATATGTATGCATGACAGACAACAGTCATATGCATTTCTTTTCCTAAGAAGGCAAATGATGCTTCGCCGCACAGGACAAAACCTTGCCAATTCTAGAGCCAGGAAAAAACGGGAGAGGGTAGAAACGTGGGTCTGCAAGCCTTCGGAGCGGCGGATAAGAGTGAGCTAACGTTGAAAATGAGAAGGAAGGAGCAGGCGAAGGCAAAAACGAATCCTTCGCTGGCAGTTCAGTAAAGTTCTGGAGTCAGTCCCGAACACATTTGGCAAAAGCGAGTGGAGTTGGACCGCTTCGCTTGCGGATTCCCCATTCACAGATTTCCTTCAATCAGGAGGACGACCACGTAAATTCGTCATTGTGCGAATGTTTTGGTCTCAAATATCTCACGTCGTCTCAAACTTTTCTTCGCAGTCTCACATCACTCGGGCGTTTATTTGTGTAAGAATTGTTGTTGGCAAAACTGAAAGTGAAAGTTTTGTCTCAATTTAGAGAAAAATTTTAGTTTGGGGAAATTAACTTTGAATTTAGCACAATATTTCTTTACGAATTCATCTTTACTTTCTGTGAGATTAAAAAAGTTGGCCTGCGTCATCCATACCCCTGAAACCCTCCTGCAAAGAAGTGATTTCTACTTCAAGTTCATCCCCACTGAATAATAAATCATCCACCTCATTCATTCATCGTCCATCCTCCACAGCCCTTCCACCGTAGTCACCGTATCACTAAACAATTCTCTGCATCAAAGGAAAGGAAAGCATCGAAAATTCCCAGCGCATCACAAATTCGTAAAATATGTGAGGTGTGTGCCTGGCTGTGACTTTGTTTATCATAATTGAATTCTGCAGCGAGTCAGCGATTTTATCAAATCAAAAGGGAAATCTACCACAGCTTTCAACAGATTTGTAGTCAGGCGCACCTGTGTGTTGTGCTGGCGTTATTCGTCATTCACAAATATACGTAGAAATATATGTTGTATATATATGCCCAGCAACAACAACAACAGAACAGCAGCAGAAGTGCCCATTTCCATCTTCCTGTCCAATCCATACAAATTCTCTATTTTTCATAGTTGGAAATAAAGTACCTTGCCGCACTCAATAACCACGTTGCCTTCCTTCTCGACTTTCTCCTATTCATACTTTCTTCTCAACTAGTTTGATACAAAGATCACTGCGCTGAATTGTTAGACTTACTTATAATGGACTAAAGGGAAAGTTGTTTGGAAAAACAAAAGTAAACTCGGCTGGGCTGACTCTTATTCAACAAAAGGTAGGATCGAGTGAGGCGGCGGTGTGTTCCAGTACCGGACTCAAAATTCACTTCAATTCCCAAACCGTCAACCCAAGAAGAAATCTTGCCGCTGGATGCACCTGACGTTCTTTTATTCGCCCAGGTCTCTCCAATCCCACGAGAATAATAATAAGTCGGGATGTGTCCCACTTTCTTTTGCCCTATTCCTCCCACTCTCGCCTGTATTTCAATTTGAATGAAGTTGATGGAAGACGTGTCTACGCCGTTGGGTTGTACCTCCGAGTTGACATTGAAAGTTGAAATTATAGGAAACTTCCTTTCTTTGGCAGTCAAGACAAGTCATCGCCAAAATATTTGTGCACAATTCGTCTGAGTCCTAAGAAAGAGTGTCATTCTCATGCTCACTCTTTTATCATGGAGTTTTGAAAGTGACATTATGGACGATCTAGCCCCAACCTTAATGACAAGCTTTATCTGGACAAAGAATTCGACAATAATCCAAATCCCCCATTCCCAGCGCACAGATGAACGTCAAATCAGAGCAGACAAAGGTACTAATAACCTCTGTCTTCATCAGTCTCTTTCAACCAAACCACTACTTTCTCCGAGAAAGAGATAGCCTCAGGATGTCCATTTTCGTCAAGTGAAGAGATCAACCACTAACAGCAGCAGAAACCAAAGTTGAGATTCAGACTTTGCTTAAGTACTCGTCGTTCGAATGTACGAAGGGAGCACTACTGCTGCTACTGACGGTTATGTAACTGCTCCTACCGGTGGGAATAGAATAAGTAATATGTTTATGCTGGTGCTTATGCGTCGCTACTTGAAAACAAAACAACAAGTGCAATGTATTTTTTCGGATGAGTAAAGTTGCATTCAATTAAAGTTTAAGTGGGAGTGAAGTGAACTCAATCCACGGAACATAAGAATTACAATAATACAACCTGAAAACAGAGACAGAAAGCATTGTCTATGTAATAATCCGCAGTGTGATCTCTTATCCTCCTTGTGAAGGGCTTTCACCTTTGTTGTTGGTGAAAGTGGACGAGAGGGTGCAAGGAACGTATAGCCCAACACACCAAAAAATCCAGAACCAAAACAATCCGACTTAACTTGGTCGCGGAGAAAGTTTAGTTTCTCCAGCACAGAAATTGGGAAAGAATTACTCTGCCTTCGTTGGTGTGCTCGTCAACATATAGCTGATACTCCATGCATTTCGTTTATTTGCTAACTATTATTACAAGCCCATGTTCGGGAATGTACTGCGTCTATAAAAGCGACATAAAATAAAAACCAAGGAAGGATTCGATTCCAATTTGGAAAATTGGACCGATTCTATTCCTGCCCTGGATTCTGCCGGCCTACACAACGCAGCCAGATTCAGCCGTAATATCCGCGTATATATATCAAACAAGTTGAATTGATCCATTATTCTTTCAAGTTTCCTATCGATCATACATACATCGCCTAATGCAATACAACCAGTCGTTCCGCATCTTCAAGCGAACAATGAAATAAAATATATGAACACAAGTCAACCTTTGGTTAACTTTTCCGAATCGAGAAGAAATTGAAACATCCTGGATCTCTGACTAAACTTTTTTTCAACTCGTTGAAAACCTTCTCCTCAATTCAAGACATGACTTATCGGCGTACCATTACAGATAGAGATACAGGCAAGTGGTGCACTTGAAGACTGTTGATGCAGCTCGGGTATATGCAGAAATAAGACAAAAGTGGCAGTAAACATTATTTCGCAAGTGTGTAAAACTTTGTGGTACACATTTTCTGTGAGTCAGGGGACTTTTCCCGAGTGAATGAATGTTCTTCTGAACTCGTAACCCCGTTGGATTTTCCTTCAGACGGGATTGAGCAGTGTTTCAGTGCCCGTGCTTGTTTAGCTACTCAATTTTGTTTTAAAGATAGAATTTATTGTCTGGTGGCTTTTCTGAAACATTCAAACATTTATTATGGATTTGACAATCTGCAAAAGTTTTTTTGTTGTATTTAAGAGTTAAAATCTCAAGAGTTTCTACTCCAAAGCAGTAAAATTTAAGAAAACGTTGAATCAGGAGAAGAGTCTCCAAGTTCAATCTCGTCTGCAGCTTCGTTGGTGGAAATGCAAGAATTTATTTATTTGCATAAGCGTTGCCTTTCCCAGTTCTATCTCGACACTCGCATCATGCATAGGCATTGGCTCGGATTGGCAGAGTAAAGTGCTGTTCAAAGAGCACTGTACGTTCTACATATATCGCATGGCATATTAACAAGACTTTTAAAACTCAACAAAAACAGTCAACGAGCAAAAAGTGTTTTTGTCCGCCTTGCAAAGTCTGGAAATCTCGGCTGGGAGAAGACTAAAAATGGAGCTGCATGGGATTGAGGAGGACGACACTGGAGGCACATCATCCGCTGAGGACGCCGATCTTCCCTTCCCCGGATTCCAACGCATTGGTGAGCTGAATGTTCCATGACTGTACTCGGTTTTTTATTTTTTTTATTAATGATGGGCTTCGTACTTATTAATGACAAAGGCTATTAGAGATGTTTAGAATTATTGGTCACTTTTTCACTGTCATCGCTGACTTCAGTTCATTCATATTTCACCCGTGGGGCGTTTGCTTTTGGTGCTGATGATTTGCAAAGTAAGCAGAATTGAACGATTTTGAAATTGTGATGATGTCCACAAAATCTCTTTGAATCTCAATTTGGGACGATTTCATTTGTTGAGAATATCAAAGTGCGGTTGAAATTATTCCCTTTCACAGTTTCAGTTCATTTATTTCGCAAACTTCAAGCGTAGAATTATGAATAACAAATTTGTACGAATATATATGAATGCAGAATTACTTTTGTGTAAATTCATGCTACTATTAACATTCATGTTGTACAAGTACATGCGTATTTAGTTGGAACTCTTTACTTGCATTCATTCGAGTAGTGTAATCTGAGAATGCATTTTTTGTGAAAGTTGGAGTATGGATTCATCAACCTTCGTACACGCGCTACTCAAGGTTTCATCAAGTTGATATGATCCACTCAATTTGCCTTTGTCGTCGAGGAGATACTAGAGTTTTCTTTCTTGGTGTGCTAGAAATTCCGAAAGAACAAAGAAAGTGAAAGTTACGTTTGCATACTTGTTGTCTTTTCTACACTTTGTTGACCCCTGATCAGGTCGGCTGTATGACACCAAGAAACCAATATGTAAATATAGTGTTCTTAAGATTTACGATCAGCATTCTTCCCGCAATGTTACCTCCTGACTCATCCACATCTACCGTAAATAACATGTTTAAGCTTCTTAATCGCGACTGTTATCATAAGCATCTATGCATATTCTATTCTCATATAATAAGAACGATATGGAAAAAATTGGAAGTCTATGTACAAAATGAATTGCCGTTGTTGTTTGTTGGTAACGTTTTTTATTACGAATTGTTAATTTGTATAAGCCTATTGTTATCTCGATCGAGTTTGATATCTTTCACTTTCTTCAGGTAAACTAATTCACGGGATGCAACATTTGGTAATAATTTGTTTTATTTTTCAGCTGTGCGATGGCTGCCTCAGACGCATCCTTTGAGATACACCTGCCTCCGAATGATCACCAATCCATATCCTTTTTCATACAACCAGTCTTTCATTTAATTTTTAATCTATTTAATTATGTATGGTGTCAACTTTCGTATAAAATGCAACGTTCCATAAAAAATGTTCCTACAGCCAACCAACCAACAATATCAGCATTAAAAAGGTACAGCAAATTCACATTATATAACACAAGATACAGATGCAGGTACAGATTTATTGGATTTGTTCCTTAGGTTGCTTAACCTACGTCATACTCATAATATACGCCTATATGAACATGTATACTCGTAATTACAGTACAGGCATGTATGCACATGTCGGCATAATTTATCCACTGGATGGCTATGAGAATTATTCTATGGCTATTTTATTCTTCAAGAAGCCAAATTATGTGCATTTTAGCCCGAACTAAGGCTTATGGAGCTCCCGTGTCTGCCTGTCTGTACATCATCTCGTTAACTCCTTTTATCCTTATCCAATCGAGTTGAAATTTTGTACACATGTAGTATTTGTCAAAGCAGGAGAGGAATTCGAAAATGAGCCAAATCGGTATGACGGTAACCGGTGGAGGTTATTATAGTGGTCCGGTTGGGGACTTTGGCGCAGAAAACTGGAAATAAACCTCCTGGTTCGGTCCTTAGCCGAATCCAAGTTTTATACTTGCACAAACTATGAAATGGAAAAATCAATTTCCATTTTACTCAATCCCATTCGAGAAGAAATATGAATAGGATAACAGTTAGAGAAAATCATTTAAGAATCGTTTTTCATTTTATGGACGGTACTTTATTGAACCATCATGTAACGACATGTTGTAAAATCGGTTGAACCTGGTAGGATAATGTTTTATGCTGCTATCAATCAAAAGGTATTTTAAATGACGTTGAAAGTTATTCTGCGTTTATACTACAGTAATTCCGAATCGCAGTTCTTCACTTGTCAGAACATTAGTCTAGTCCAAGAAATTAGGGGTAAAGCGAAATTAGAATGTATGTGCATATACATACTTGAACTTTCCTGTTTGTAATGTTCCGCACGAACTTAAGACTTGAGTCTGCAACCCCACGACCGAGCTAACAACCTGGGTGCCTACTTGTAAAATAGTTTCATGGAGGAAGGAGGTCGCCTCACTTACATTCTTCCAGAATTTTCCTTGATTTCACCTCATTCTGCAGAGTTCATCACCGTAACCGGATAATGGGATGTTATCTACATGTACTCACCATGGTTGGTTCACTCAGCTCCCCATTCTTGTCCCAGACTCTCCAGCCACTGAAGAGGCTGGGACAATAAACCAACTCGGGGAAAATGGAATCCTATTTTTTAAATGCACGTTATGCTACACTCTACCCATCCCAATTTCCTAGAATATTTCTTGCCATTGTTATTGAACCATTATTTTGGAAACTTATTTCGAGAAGACCTAGAAGCAAAAATCATACAGTTCATGACAGGAAGCCCTGTGAACGTCAAATGATAAGTGCAGCTCCTGCCGATGAGAAATTGAGAATTAGAATGGTTGCACTTTCACAATCTCGTATGAATGGGTGGAGACAGACGATCTGTCTAGTTTTTCTCCTCGCTCAACGGGAGAACCACCACTAACAGATAAATTGAAGATATATGGGGAATAATGGAGGTGGGACTGGGAACTAAACCAGTGATATCGTATTCCTTCACCACGGCATTCGTAGAGATGAAAAGTGCATATGTTGAATTCCTTTAAGTGAGCATATACTATTTCCTGTGTAACTTTGTCCTTGTCAAACGACTCGTGCCGGCCTAAATATATTTGCATACGTACATGTGTATCTATGCATATGCTGCTATATGTCCTGAATCTGCATACATACGTATGTATGTACATAGATGGGAACTATCTACCTAATGTGTCTTCCTCTCAGCATAAAGTGCTCTATGACGTAATAATATCCATTAGAGATGATTTTGCTTTACCAACCTTGAAAAATAGGAATTGGAGACTATCAAAATTAAGCAAACTGAGTGCTACACGTTAAACTCTTTACATATTCCTGACAGTTTTATAACATTTGCATTTATAATAAATAGACACGAGATTTTATTGTGAAGCATATTTGTTACAACGTTCAGGTGTCATATTACATACGTAACAATGGATACTGCATAGTTCACACAATGCAGTTGTTTGTGAGTATTTACGCAATTGCACTTTCTAAAAAGTGTCACAGCTCTGGAAACGAGATGTTGATGGTGCCCTTTCACCTCTGTATGACGTAACCGATGCATCAAGTTTACAGCTTTCGCAGATGGTGTTCTATTTTTAGCAATTGAGAAATTCTCTCCACAAGCATTTTATTAAGCAGTCATTTCGGGGTGTCCCTTTTATCCGATTACAAGTAGTTCAGGTGGATTGCAGAAAGTGTGACGTGGCACGGCAAGAATTTTAAACACTTCTTGGATACTTCTTCATTGGTCACTAGCTAGCATTGTTCACTAAATGCATTCAGTCGATAGAACTACATATGCACATTGACCAAGTCCAATTATATTGAAGTATTGAAGATAAAATTCCGACGAGAAAGATGACCCAAGTATATGGTGTAGTACAAATAGGCAGATATACATACATTTACACACATACGAGTACATATGTGTGTATTACAAGAACACAGAGTACTTATTTTCCCAACGTACTGCAAATAATTTTGCTTGACTTTGTAGATATCTTGATGGAAGGGATAAATGAGTAGAAATGTAATTCCATAATGCTTAGGTATGTGTACGTATGTTCCGGCAGATTCTGTCTACTGAACACATCAACTCTGGACTTTTTTCATCTTTTACATCGACCCGTTACTTTCTCTTTTCCTTTGTAAGTGAAATGTTACGAAACGAAGCCATTATTCATTATTTACATCACACACATGTTTTGCAATTTATCGGAATGTAGATTTATGAGTGAGTATTACTCGTGGTAACCGAGATTGGTTGAGCTTTTCCGGCATTCCAAACTAATGAACAGAGTTTGTATGCGCACCGAATTGTTTTCTACTAAACATCATATATTGTAAATATTTGACAGGAAACAACCTTGAATTTTCACGTATTCTTCACCCTTCGCATGAAAAGTACTCCGACATTTCACCCTGAACAAAAGCACAATGTTCCGTTAACACATCACAACTTTCACACTATGTGACTAAATATGTTTCCTCGTGGTCCCAAATCCCATCCGTGCCTGGCAAGTAAGCTTCCATTTACTCGTAAACATAACTAAGTCAGCGAAATTGTAATGCATAGGCTGAAAGGCCACGCTGTATGTTATGCGATAACCCACGGAATGTCGAACATCGACCACTTTTTGCTTTCACTCACTGATGGATTTATCTGAATGGGGGTTGGAAGCAGCCAACGTCTGCACACACAGCCACTCATCCGTCCAAACAGCTCTGTTCTCCTCAGCTTCGAAACACTGATGCTTGAACCACTTAGGTTAGTAAGCGGGTTGATGGGTGGGTGGCTGCTACCGTGCTGCATGAGGATTTAAAATGAATGTAGAGCACGATAGACGATAATCCTTTAAAAAGGTTTGCATTTGAAAGGGCTTATTCTTGTCGAATTTTCAATGGGATGAGAGGAGTCTCCTCAGCCCAGCCCTGTCCATGTCATGTCATGTTGTGAGGAGGAGGAGGATGATGTGAGTATCGATGAATTTAAGAAAAGTGAGAGAGAGTGGATTGGATGATGATGTAAAGTAAAACGGGGGAAAATGGGTCAGAAAGTAGTTCACTCCTCGCTTCACTCGCTTTCCAGATCAGGCTCGGGGCAAATAAGCGCTCGCAAAAAAGAAAATGCTTATTCACTTACTTATACATACACACATTAGATTACACTCGTGTGTATAATTCCTAGTCTCAATTCGACCTTCGTTTACATTATCCTGCATTACCAGCTTACCCGCTCGCTCTCTAACTCAAATATAAATGACATTTGAATTTGAGTGTCGTTCGTTCGTTCATTCGTTCGTATGAGTTTAGAATACAAATCGCTAAAATCTTTGTCATTCTAATTTCAGTAGGATTTACTGCTCTCAAGTGTTGTTCGGGTTGGTGGGGCGCTGCCTGGGTGTGAAGTAATGTCAAGTTTGAGCGAGTGAGTGAATTGTTCTACGTGAGAAATGTGAGTTAGTGGAACTTATTATGTATTCTTTATTCCCGTGCTCAGGTTGGTTTTGGCGATGCAGCGCATTTATAACATGAAAGCATGTCCGTGTCCCTCTAAGAGGTATATTTGAGAGAAAGTTAAAGATCAATAGTTCATTTATTGCATGCTTCAAGTTACTTGGATTTGTTTCAGACCGATTAAAACAAACGTACATACATTGAATAGAATTCTTAGGCTTAGAAATTAGTACGTGACACGCGCAATATCGTGATAATGTAGCATGCATTGCTGTTCATTTCGAAATGCAAACGCGCAAACTCTAGTGAGTGGGTCGCATTTGCAGTTTGTGTTCAACTCCTTCGTAAAAAATACAAAAGAAGTTGTCCTCCAAGCTGTAGGCAAAAATTCAATTATTGCATCAACAATTCCGCTGCTGGCTCAACAGGTCTTTTACGACTCAACGTCCACATTTCAGGAGAAAATTTATTCTCGCTTCTTGAGTAGAATGCATTCATGTATGTATTGCATAAGTGTTATAAAAATTCAAGTAGGATCCAGGCCGAGTATGATTATAGTTTTGCACAGTGAGAGATCAAGTTGTCAGGGTTAGTCTCATCTGTTACCTCCATATGCATATTTAGGTGGATGGATTGTACAAGGCGAAATGGTTGGCATTAAAAATCAAAGCCAAACTTTTTGATTACGTTTACATTGCCACATTTGCCCTAAAACATTTTACCTTTAGTAGTAATTTAGCGAAAACAATGTTTAATTCCCTATTCTACAATCTCATATGGCCCCACAAGCAGGCAAAGATACTGAGGATTTCTGAGTGAAAGTGCATCACAGCCCTACAGAATTTATTTCTTTGTATGCA